GGAGGTACCCTGAAGGAATACCAGCTGAAGGGTCTGCAGTGGATGATTTCCCTGTACAACAACAACCTGAACGGTATTCTTGCAGACGAGATGGGTCTCGGAAAGACTATCCAGACCATCAGTTTGATCACCTACCTCATCGAGAAGAAGCGACAGCCAGGACCTTACTTGGTCATCGTACCGCTGAGTACACTCACCAATTGGACCAACGAGTTCGAGAAGTGGGCGCCGAGCGTTACCAAGATTGTCTACAAGGGTCCTCCCAACTCGCGTAAGCAATACCAGCAGCAAATTCGATGGGGGCAGTTCCAGGTTCTCCTCACCACATACGAGTTCATCATCAAGGACAGACCAGTCCTCAGCAAGATCAAGTGGGTACACATGATTGTCGACGAGGGTCACCGTATGAAGAATGCCGGTTCGAAGCTCAGCATGACCATCACACAGTACTACACAACACGTTATCGTCTCATTCTTACCGGTACTCCACTGCAAAACAACCTCACTGAACTGTGGGCTATGCTTAACTTCGTCCTACCCACCATCTTCAAGTCGGCCACTTCGTTCGACGAGTGGTTCAACACTCCTTTCGCCAATACTGGAGGTCAAGACAAGATGGAGCTTACAGAAGAAGAGCAGTTGCTCGTCATTCGTCGTCTTCATAAGGTGCTTAGGCCTTTCTTGCTCCGTCGTCTCAAGCGCGATGTCGAGAAGGATCTTCCCGACAAGACCGAGCGTGTGATCAAGTGCAACTTCTCTACCCTCCAGGCGAAGCTGTACAAGCAACTCGTCACACACAACCGACTCATGGTCAGCGACGGCAAGGGCGGAAAGACTGGTATGCGTGGTTTGAGCAATATGCTGATGCAGTTGCGCAAGCTGTGCAACCATCCGTTCGTATTCGAAGAGGTTGAGGACGTCATGAATCCAACCAAGGGCACCAACGATCTTCTATGGCGTGCGGCCGGCAAATTCGAATTGCTTGACCGTATTCTACCCAAGTTCCACGCTACAGGGCATCGTGTCCTCATGTTCTTCCAGATGACACAGATCATGAACATCATGGAGGATTACTTGCGGTTGCGAGGCATGATGTACCTGCGTCTAGACGGAGCGACCAAAGCAGATGACCGATCCGACCTACTGAGGTTGTTCAATGCTCCCGACTCACCATACTTCTGCTTCCTGCTTTCGACGCGTGCCGGTGGTCTGGGACTGAACTTGCAAACTGCGGATACAGTCATCATTTACGACTCGGATTGGAATCCTCACCAGGATTTACAAGCCCAGGATCGTGCTCATCGTATTGGTCAGAAGAACGAGGTCCGCATTTTGCGTCTTATCACTTCCAACTCGGTTGAAGAGAAGATTCTCGAGCGAGCCAACTACAAGCTGGACATGGACGGCAAGGTTATCCAAGCTGGTAAATTCGACAACAAGTCCAAGGATGACGAGCGAGACGCCATGTTGCGTATCATGTTGGAGTCTGCTGAAGCTGCCGAGAGCCTTGAACAAGAAGAGATGGACGATGACGACCTGAACCAGATCATGATGCGTCACGACCATGAGCTGATAACCTTCCAGGAGATGGATCGGAAGCGTTTGGCTGAAGATCCATATGGTCCCGGTAAGCCGCTTGGTCGCCTGATAGGTGAGAGCGAGTTACCCGACATCTATCTCAATGAGGAAGCTCCCATTGTCGACGAGAAGGATGATACACCTGCTGGTCGTGGCGCTCGAGAGCGTACTCGCGTCAAGTATGATGACGGTCTTACCGAAGAGCAGTGGTTGGAGGCTGTCGACAACGACGAAGACACTATCGAAGCTGCTATCGCCCGCAAAGAAGCTAAGGTCGCCAAGCGGGGTAGAAAGAGTGGCGGAGCGCGTGACGAGGATTCGCCTGTACCTTCACGTGCTAGTTCAGAAGAACCCATGCCGAAGAAGAGAGGTCGTAAACCCAAGGCTGAGAAGCGCAAAGCTGATGAAGCCTCCCTTGATGTTGACCTCGCACCTCGGAAGCGCGGTCGACCTGCTCCAGCCAAGGACATGCTGCTTCCTGACCAGCGAGCGTCGCTTCAGAAGGTCGTCAATGTTGTTTACGAAGCTCTCAACGATCTGGAAGAGGAGTCGCAAGATCCAAACATTCCCAACCGTGGTATCATCGACCCATTCATCGAACTGCCAGACAAATGGGATTACCCGGATTACTACCAGCTGATCAAGAACCCCATCTGCATGAAGCAGATCGAGAAGAAGATCAACAAGAAGGAGTACCACTCTGTGAAGCAATTCCGTCAAGACCTTGGCTTGCTGTGTAACAACTGCCGCACCTACAACGAGGACACGTCACTGCTCTTCCAAGACGCCAACCTCATCGAACAGACCGCACTTGACAAGCTCCGTGAAGCAACCGCGGAGTTCCCAGAGTGGCAAGATTACGACGACGGTGGCAGCGTGCACGGCGGTCTTAGCACAATGACAAGCGCAGTTGGCACACCACGAGCTGGCGTCTGAAGAACGTAAGTCACAGCACTACATACCGTTTATCGAGCATCTACTTACAGTACCAGATGACAACGTACGTCCTCAACCACGACGCGTGACACCGAACCACCTTATACCTTCTCTACATGTCGTTTATTGCCTCACTGTATAACTTGCAAAGACCTGGAGAAAGAAGATTGGAGAAGATATCATTCCAGGCATTTCCATTGCGCGCTTGCACGGTTCTTTGTCGCTCCACACAACATTGGGCGCGGCTTTTCCCATGGTTTTAAGATGCTTGATTGAGTAACACGATTCTGGGGTTCAAGGGGGGGTTTTCTTTTCTTTTCAAAGTGGAGTTTGATGCATGCATGCATGTCTATTGTAGCTAGTGAAAGCTCAGTTTGGCTTGCCTGCCTCTAGATAAAAGGGCAGTTTGATGGTCGGAGAGAGGGAAGAATGTGATTGTTTGCATTCGTTCTAACGCGATTTGCTTGGGGTGATGAATAGATGTGGATGGCCTTCTAAGCTATGCAGAGTCACCAATCCAATATATAACTCAACTTCCACCCATATGAGCGTCTAACAACCACCAGCGTCTCGCCCAGTCATATGACCTGCTCATCTATGCCTGCTCCGCGTTCCACTTGACGCAGTCCTGGAACTTCACGCCTGAACCACCAAAGATATCTAATGCGCTGCCGATGGTAAGATCCACCTTGCCCTTGCTCAGCTCCTTGACCAATTCCAAATCTTCAATCGAGCGACCTCCACCGGCATACGTGACGGGTATGCTGCACCATTCAGCCAGCTTGGCAACAAGTTCGTGATCGATACCGCGTTGTAGGCCTTCGACGTCGGCGGCGTGGATGAGGAACTCGCTGCAGTGGGGTTCGAGGAGGGATATGGATTCTACACATGTTCGTCAGTTCCTGGTCTGGGACAGCGAGAGTGGGTTTTGGTGTATGTACCTTGGTTCAATTCAAAGTCGGTGATAGTCTGCCACTTGTTCGTCGCAACGAACCACTTGTCGTCTTTCCTTCGGCAGGAGAGGTCGATGACAAGTTTAGTTTTGTCGTTGTCGAGGGCTTGGAGGACGGCTTGTAGGCGGTCCATGGAGAAGGTGGAGGAGGGGAAGAGGTACGATGTTATGATTACCTACTGCGCGTCGATTAGTTCAATCTGCCTTTTGTAATAGTGTGTGTGTTTTGTTATAGGGCAAAGCTCACCTTATCTGCGCCTCTCTCAATCCATTCGGCCGCGTTCTTCTCAGTAATCCCGCCGCCGACTTGCATTCCACCTTTCCATGCTTCCAATGCTTCTTGCGCTGCTTGGTCATTCCCCGGACCGAGCATTATGACGTGTGCGCCTTTTAGGTCATGTTGTTTATATAGGTCGGCGTAGAAAGCGGAGGGGTGTTCGGAGGTCCAGTTTGTCTTCAGGACGTCGGGGGTTGTGGTGTTGAGTGTGCCGCCGACGATTTGCTTGACGCTTCCGGCGTGGAGGTCTATACAGGGACGGAAACGCGTCATCTTGCGATATGTGTTCGTGGTGATGGTGGTGTTGCGGGGGAGGGGTCGAGTGAAAGACGGAGGTCCGAGCGAGCATTTGGCGCTAAGAATTTCCCATGTCGAACTTTTGGAGCGCCCGGTTTGCGCTCAGCACAACGACACGATAATGGCGCCCGCACTCGGAAAACGGAAGCGCGTAACGCGTAAAGAGCTCGAACAACCGTCGCGATCACCTTCCCCCTCTTCCGGCTCGGGCGACGACTCCGGTGCAGAAGACCTCCAGGCAATATTCCGGCGCGCATTCGAAGCAAAGTTCAAGCCTCTGCCCGTAGAGCCCAAGAAAGCGAAGATAGAGGAAGCGCCCGTGGAAGATGAACCAGAAGAAGAGGAATCAGACTGGTCAGGCATAAGCGACAACGAAAATGACGTCGAAGTCATCGAGTACCAAGACCCAACGCGCGAACTCGACGAGACCGAACGGGCAGAAATGAAAGCCTTTATGTCGTCGAAACCACCCACCTCAGCATCCGCCTCATCAAAGAATGCAACAACCAAGAAGAAACAAGACGACGCCGACCCCAACGAAACCTCCATGCTGAAGAACGACATGGCCCTCCAACGACTCCTCCGCGAATCCCACCTCCTCTCCGCCTCTTCCTCCGGCACCTCCACGCCCACACTCGTCGCGACAGGCGCCGCACGCCACAAATCGCAAGACCTGCACCTGCAAGCGCTCGGCGCCAAAGGCTCCATCTTCACACAGAAGAAGATGCCAATGGCGCAGCGCAAGCACATGATAGACAAAGCGCGGACGACGGAAGAGAAGAGGCGGGCGGACGCAAAGGAAGCGGGTATCGTCCTGGAGAGGGAGAATAGGGTGGTTAAGAAGGGGCCGGAGAAGAAGAGGGAGAGGGGGGTTGGTGGGCCTAGCATAGGCAAGTTTAGAGGTGGTACGCTGAGTTTGAGTAAGAAGGATGTTTTGAGTATTACGGGGAGTGGGAAGAAAGGGAAGGGAGGGAAGGGGGGAGGGAAGAAGGGGAAAAGGTGAGGTGGTAAGAAGGTTGAGATACCCGATATGGATTGTACGACGCGAACGGTACCGTTTTTGAGTGTTCGAGATGCTCTCGCGTATATGTTTTGTGGATCACAGAAGATTCGTGGGGGTGAAGATGAGGGACTGATGAAGACACACAAGAGACTCATCGGGTGCTAGCGCACGACTCGGGAAATACGAGCTTCCTCGCTTCACGCGTAGGATACAGTGAATGTTGCGGACGATCTGTTACTGAGCCTGTTCACCGAGACTGACAAGGCGCTTTCACAACAGGACAAGGGAGGCAACGAGAAAAGCTTTGGCTTTTGGTCCTTGCTCTATAACCACCTTGCACCCTTTCTACTACGAAATCAATCCACTACGATCAATTCTCTGCGTTAAGCAGACTAAACCATCGAGGTCTCAACTCAAGCTAACTCAATTTCACCACTATGGGGACATCTCTATCCTCTCCCAGACCACCCTGCTCATCTACTCAAAATAAGCCATTCCGATTTCTTGACCTTCCAGCGGACCTACGATATATGGTCTACGAGGAAATCGAAATCTCGACATGTCACTATCGGCTCGAGGACCCGACGTTTTATTCCGACTCTAGCGAGGAAGCAACGCCATCGTCATACATGACACTTGTTGTCAAGAGCCTGCTATTAGCCCTGTTAGCAACTTGTCGTCTTATCCATCATGAAGCAGCACCTTACCTCGCGCACAAGCTAGAGACGCTTCGTAATGAACCCTCCCATTTCACCATCGACTCGACGAGCCTTTACAGCCTCGTTAACAGTTACAACAGCATTGGCACGATGCTCGAGAAGCACGAGTATGACAACAGTACACGCAAATGGTATGGCGCTGGTGCTGGCAAAGATCCTAAAACCTGGATCCCGCGTTGGATCGACATAAGAGGTCGTTTCCCGCGAAGAACCCATGTCTTCATGCATGGCTCCAGGAAGCATACTGCCATCGTCGCGTTTTACAGAAAATGCCTTGAGACCCGAAGACGTCGATTCACTACAAAGACAGTGATCACCGGTCTCGGTATCGATCCGCTTTGGCAGGTCAAAGAGATTTCGGATGCGGAGTGGAAGATAGTGTCGTCAAGGGATGGCACTGTTAATGTGAGTGGAGAGGGTGTACCATAGCCCAATATGTTGAAAAAGCTAATTTTCCTAAGCATCACAAAGATGGGTGCTTTAGTAGGGTTGAAGTAGGGAACGAACAGTTCATGGAGAACTCAGAAGGATATCGTCTCTGTAAATCTGCTTCCATCAGAAAGGTCATGTAATAGTACTTCACCGTAAACAAATAAGACATGTATATCAACACTGGTGATTATTTATAAGATAGCCCGCTGTTACACATACACACTCGAAACTCCATATTATGTGACTGTAAGCCATGCTTGTGCAGCGTAAAACTGGGCAACACATCTCGTACAAGTTATTCTATAAGTCACTCTCTGATTCCCACGTACTTTACCTACTAGTACCGCGATAACTCAGAGCGAGCAGCGAGCTACTCACAATTTCCGCAACACATAACGTTCCTAGACACAGAGGCACTCTTGAATCAGAGCAATTGCAATCATCAGAGACATGAAGTTTCTCCACCAGACTCCAACTTTGCAACAACCACCAACCGCAACGGATACACATATCCAGGTCCAACTACCCAAATTACTCAACATAGCCGCGCATTACTCGACCTAGGGAGAGGGGAACCAACAAGTTGGTTCGCAAGCCCTACCCATATGATGATCGTCCCGTACCAAACCCGCGGCCCCATCAGCCCACCTCAAAATACACCTCACGCCCCGTAAAACGACCCGTCGCAACTTGACTCCTAGCATGTGTCGCCTACTCCGGTGGGCCCGACTATTACAAGGCCGTCACAAGACTATGTGCACTGTAAATCTGCCCTATAACCCGCCCCGCGCCTAACCTGCCCTCTTCAAGCCCCGAGCTATCTAGGTAGCGTACCAAACATCGCACAAAGCCGTTTTTCTGGTAGACGTCAGCCCCATCTCAGGTAGTACTCCGATAGCTTATCGGGCTAGCAATAGGCGCAAATTGTATCTAGACGTCATGTTAAGCTGACTTGCGCCCGCGGATCAGCCGCGAGTTCCAATCATGTGTCGTTGCGCTTGTTGGAGCCAAGTTGTCAAGATGTGGCCTAGCAAGCGAGGTGTTTAAAGTGGGTTTTCGCTCGTCGCTTGTTGACTTCCGCGGTTGAGATTGGGTTGCGCGCTTGGAGTAGAGTATCCTTTGGGTGGGGAATAGATGGGTGGATTGACTGGGTGGTTGACGGGCGCGTGGGTGGTAGGGTACCGGTGAAGGTGGATGGATGGGTTCGTTCCTGTATGTCGGGGCGGGCGGGTGGTGGTGGGAATAGGGACGCGGATATGGGTTATTTGGAAGATGGACATAGCACGATGTTTAGCTATGGCTATGACGAGGTTGATGAGGAAAGGAACAAGCGTAGAATTCGTGGAACTTGTGTCGCGTCTTCTTGGAGTATCATACTTTTCTGGATGTGAGCATAGTTTCTTGGAAATATTTGAGTGATGACCATCATACTCTAGTGATCAGTAAACAATTGTGTCAAATGAGGCTGCCGCTGATCACATCTTTCCGGTTCTTAGCACTGGTAGTTGAACTTCATCTCATGATCTATGAGCGGTTTCTAAGTAAGCAACCACCATGTGTCCCCTGGGATGTCTCCAGTTGGTGGTCAACATGTTTGTTCAGTGGTAGCGAGAGCAGCTGTACCATGCGTGCGAATCCCGTGATGCCACTGCTCATGAGTAAGCAAGCGTTTCACCGGTGCTGTATTCACCTGTACTAAGAAGAGCCAATATAGTGACTACCAAGACTCCAAGTTCAGACACCCTCTCTATCTTCAGGATAGCGGACATGTTTCGGTTTGGGTTCCAGCCTTCAAGCTCGTTGCAACATCTCTCCTCGTAGCGCTGCTAGCCACCTGTCACTACGTACACGACTAAGTAGGACCGATATTACCCTCTAAGCTAGACGAATTCATTGCAGAGCCTGCACGTTACCCCGTCGATCTAGGGACTTTGAGGGCCTATCTTGGTAACTGCAAAGATAGCCCTATAGGCCGGACTGAACGACAATTGGCAGATCTTAACACTAAGAGAGCCGTGATGCACCCAAGGCTCATCAGTATTGCGCACATGATACTAGACTGGCGGACGGTTATTAGGCTGATCTCTCGAGTTTGATGCTCGAATGCGTTTTTGACCCGTCGCGCCAGAGGCGCTTCTGCGGGTACGTCGCAAGTCCAATGCTCGATGCGAATCAATATTGCAGTCTGTGGACTGGTCCCACATGAACTCTTCACCTACCTTTGGAAAATATTCGTAGCGCGTTTGAAACGGAAGGAATGCCGAGAATATGGGATAGTCTCTCAATCATGTGTTAAAAGATTGGATCGTCGCGCGCGTGCATGCGTATGAAGGTTTGAATGGACGAGTATATACATATTGGGGGCCCGATGAGTCGAAATGTAGGAGTGAAGATCTGACTGAGATGGAATGGGATATTGAGTTAGAGGGGGACAATGCAACGTATGCCTCCCCGGGACATGTATACTGTATTCCTCGATAAGAGATCTATCTATCTGAATCGAGTGGAGGAAAGCTCTTCCATGTCTCCGAAATGATTTTGGTCCTAAGAATCTTGATGTGAAGGATCGCGAGAGCGGGGTGATGAGAGAGGTGAAACAAGTAATCTTTACGCAGCGACATAGTGCGAACTTTAGTTCCTAAATGGGTGTCATACGCCTTCCCTGCATTCAGCAAATTCGTCAGGACAGATGGGAACACCGATCAGCTTTGCATCTCTTGCGCTTGACTGATCGTATACGCTGACGAGCATGGGTGTCGAACGGCAATGAGTCGTAATGAGGCCTTCCATTAGAGGCTGAGCAATATTAGAGTTGTGGTGGCGATGTACTGTTGGTAGAGTGTTCAGCTTCACTCCAGCGTCGTAATGTTGGGAACGCTCGATCGGTGGCGGTATGGGGCGGTGGCGATCAACATAGGTTTGGAAAGGGGGATCTCAGCACAGTGATCTACTCCATTCTTTTGCAGTTCGCCATGCAGAGAAGACCTATTCCTGGGAAAGAAGGGTGCAGACGCGTCAATGAGGCGTACCCTGAAACTCCTCCAGGGTGGCAGGCGACCTGAATAGGCCAAAGCGACACTCCTGCAGCTTCATAGAAATCTGGTCGAATCTGTCACCACTGCGTACATCTGTATCATGTGGCAGGTCTGTACCTGTCTTTGCACACCTCTATCGATGGAGGTGGTCTGTTACGTGATGCGCGTCTGCCGTCGGCTATTGCGGGAGCTCATCGATCGCGGGTTTGGCATCGTCCTGGCAGGCTGCGCGTACATAACGGCCTCGCCGAAAACCCCACGCGTTATGCCACGATATGTGTCGAGCGATTTCCAGCGCCAGAAGCGTCAGCTTGCACTGTTGATAGATCTATCGGCCTGAAACTTCGGTTGGTCGGTACATTACGAGCTACCGAGATCTAGAGGCACGGCTGTCATGCAAGATTGACGAAATGCGGAAGCGGAAGCGGGCAGGCTCACCGATGAAGATCTGGAGGAATGTCAGAAAAGGGCCGAAGACATGCGATGGATCTATCGTGAATAAAGGAGCAAGATCTGATTTTTCTTTTCCCATCGTGTGTGTGTGGGAGAACTGCTGGTTGGAGTTGGGGAAGCGGCCAGCGGGGCAGACTGGGTATTTGGGAAGGGCCGAAGAGCTGCCGAAGTATCGTTGAGATGCCGCTCGGGAGCCCGCCACAATGAGCGCGGGCGCCCTGGAGTTTACAGATTTCCGCAAAGCGCTGCGATGATTGGTGGCTGGGTTGGCCGCCAGCAAGTGGCTTCGCGTAATGCACACTGCGTCCCTGGTGGCGTCGTTAAATGCGCCCGCCCTATCAAATCCCCTCAAAGCCGAAGGCGCAAAGACACACCAGCTCGCCAATCTGGAACAACGATGGCAGTATCTGGTCTGAGTCGAGGAGGTTCTCACCCCCTCTACGATGTCCGTCACCCCGCCATCTTGGACTTCTGGACAGTGTTCTGCCTTGTTGCGACAAGAGGTACGCTAGAGTTAGCACGGTTCCGTTTCGAGCGCTGTGCATGATCCTTTGGCGGGTACAAGGTGCCGTACCCTAGATCTCAAGAGCACGGAGCGGTACGTTCTGATCGGTGGGGCGCATCGAAATACCTCGCCGACCACTCTGATACCCACTGCGCAACTGGTGATGCTGTTTACTCAGCATCACTGCAGACGAATAGATGGAACCGGTCATGGGTCAAGATGATGCGTTGCAAAGAGATGGATCAGGATTCAGGAGCCCTGTAGCACAATCACCGCTGCTGGTGTCAAAATCTGTCAGTTCATACTGGTCATTCGATACCCGGTAAACTGGCTAAGCCGAGATACTCATATGCCCTCCACATACCGAGTTTCAATTATGGCTTCGTCCTTAGAGAGCTCCAAGTCCTATCTTGCACCTGGCGGATTTCAGAAAAGTTGCCAAGTGGTCAGCCGCGGCAGCAGCAGTCGCATGCTTCAGACATGACATCTCATGTCCACAAACACGATTCACTCGCTCGCTGACGCCATTCCATCGACCCGCTGTTGCGGAACGCTCAGGTACATCGCTATCGGGTTCTCAGATCATGCAGGTTGCGATAGAACGAGTTAGTTTCAATCAAGCGATCCTGGAAGTTCATGCGCCCCCCTTGTCAGTACAATTCTATACTGTCATCATCGCTTTCCGATTATACCCTCAGGTTCCGGCCTTTCACGCCAAGCTGACTAGCGTGTAGTCGGTGATGCATGCGTACGTGGATCTAAATGCACATTCCCCTCCCCGGGCGCAGGGGCGAAGAAGGCGCATCAGATCTGATGAAGACTCCGATACGAACTGGCAGGGAAACTGACTCGAGCTTCACACCACTACAAACCACCACATCGTGGCTGGAGATTGAGCTTCTTGAGATGTTGCGCTTACTATGCAGCATTACCCAAAGTTTGCTCAGAAACAAGATGACACCATGTAATGATATGCATCTTGTACGTAGTGATCGTCCACTAGGTTACTGGATACATCCGACGTTAAGCATCACTGCGCTACCATCTTCGGATGCACGTAAGCTTGTAGCGTACCAGACTCTTCTAGACCGATTTACCGCTATTTCAAGATTCTGCGAGGGGGTTGGTGTTGATTTGGCGACACTTTGCAATTGCTTGCCATCTCACTTGTATCAGAAGGCGAGCGATGCACGATCTGTACGCGACGCCACTGAGATATAGTGTGTTTGATCTTCACGATCGATGTTTTCTGGAAGGCGATCAAAGTGGCGAGATACAGCGGATCTGCGTGAGATGTGTGAGTGCTCGAAGCAAAGGTATGGTGGTGGCAGTTCCGTACGGTGAAGGGGTTCTGCCGGGTTATTCCAGGTATCGCAGGGTGATACAACATGTTGAGAGGCCAAGAGCAGGATATTCGCTGCTAACGGTACATAGGATTCAATCGCTGTCGGTGTATACCAGACCGGCTTATGTGCCTGTCCATGGTTAGCTTTGGCGCCTGCATTGCATCGGCATTGCTGGATGCTACTACCGAGTTTGGCATGCGCCTTGCCATCGCTATTAGCCGCTGCTGTTGTACGAGTATCACACGCCTCGTTCCCCTGCCAGACACTTCTTTGTACTTGCGGTGAGTGTTGGTCAAGCACACAATGCTGCAACATAACTTTGACTACTGCACATGAGCTTTGAGGTTTTGACCGGTCTCAAAGATTGTGAAGTGCAGTAGCACCCGGTCAACAACTTTGAGATGTCCGGCGGTCAAGCTCAAGTGCATCGTTGGCATTGCTTCAAGGGAGAGTGCCGCGATGTCGCAGATTGTCTAGAATGAGTGGTGATTGGAGTACCGATCAGTAGGCATATGAGATCAGCCTATTTGAACACCGCATGGTATATGCCGAAGGAAATTGCTAACGTAGAACGGCCATGTCTAAAATGAACCGCGAAGAATTCATTCAGGATGATCCAATGAGTGGTACTCAGCAGACTTCCAAGTACCTTCCGTCTACGGTAGGTACTAGGACAATGAGAATGAAGGGCAGCTTAGGGATGAAGCGCCGGTAGCGATGCTTGTCGGTCTGTTAACGATCAAGGTTTCGAAGGAGTAGTCTATGAGCTAGGCACACCGTTAAGCGGCAGCTTGCTAACCTCTCAAGACTCAAGGAGTGATCAACAGTGAGCCCTGGATTTCGTGGAGGGTGGCATCTCCCACACTCGCATACAATGCGGTGTAGCTACGCGAGTACCAAGCGATGTGGAAGCATTCAGGGGATTGTACAGGAAGCTGTAGCTGTACGGTGATGTTAAACACGATCTGATGGCGAAGGCAGGGAACATGGTTGATGAAACACATCAGCGGCCCCGGGGAAGCGATCGGGCCTATCCGTTTGGTTATTGACATCCGCGGCTGACCTGTACGCCTAACCAAGGTAGGTCTGACAGGACGAACTGTGCGTCTTTGGCCCACGGGCCCAGGATCTGTGCTCGGTTAGCAGCACGCGCATGCATGCCGTCATTTGGCTAGCATAAGGTTCAGACGAACCACTCGCTTCACTAAGAATTCGACCACTCGTGAAGCGGACACTAACACAGATAGACGATTATACGGCGATCGCAGACCAGTGTCACCGAACAAGGACCGCGGATTGCTGCCGCTGGTTCCGTGCGCCGCCGCCGCTGCCGTCCGCATAGCCAACGTCTGTCATCAATGTATCGACGAGCCGACCGCGGATGGGTAGTGCAAATGTCAGGTTGCCTTCAAATAACTATGGCCACGATTGAAGAACGAATGGCTCGCATTGTTGCTCGTAGACAAAGGACTGGGCTCTTGGTCGTATCGCGTGTTCTAACAGAAGCTGCTCGTAGAAAGACAGAGATTGCATGCTCCTTCAGTGTATTGGTACACGTATGTACTGTTGCACTGGAGCATGCCATGGTGGTCCATCATCATTTGGAGATCAAAGAGCGAGATTTGCTATCCCATGATGGTGTCCAGCACTTGTTTGAGGCTACTGCAGGTCCACGATTTCGGAAGAAGAACTTCTTAGCATTGCAACCCCTCCAAAACTCACTGACCAGCACCAAGCGCTTTAATCCAAGGTCGGATAATCACTCTCGGGCCAAGCGGCTCAACGAAACCCTGGACTTCGGATCATTGTGTCCCAGTATGCGAGGTTGAACAACTCGTGCTCTAGTCGAAATGCCGTAAGGGCCCGCGCGGATGATCCGGTGAAGACCTGGGACGCGATTGCTACACCCATGCACAGACATATGCCACACAGATTGCTTGCATCTTAATGTCGACCTATCTGGGGTCGATCACCAAGTCCGAGGAATGGAAGGATAGTGCGCTTGTCTAGGAGAGGTACAGGTCGACCGCAGCTATCCAGCATTCAGCTCTGCTTTCGCGGTAGGGATACCCTGAATGGAATCAACTGACAGCTGGACAGTGCTGTCAAGGAGGAGCGGAGAGACGGAAGGACGGCCATGCCATCTCGGTATGTTGAAATCCCGTAGTCGCCTACGCCGCTGCTTAGCATGTAGATCATGAACACGATCCGATGCCCCTGCAGCTGTTTGAGCTGGTCTCAGCATTGGCTGGTTATTTCAAATACATCAAGAGGAAACGGTCGTCAATCGGGCTATCTTAGATCAGACACATTAGTCTGGTCGATACGGGAAACCTGATCCGCTTAAAGATCCGGGCGCGTCGTTTGAAGCTAAAATCCAAAGATGGCGTTTTGGCTTGGGGTAGGAGAGATCGTAGTACTAAGAGCCGTTGGTGGCAGGTCTAATGGCGCAATAGAGACTATGCATACGTCGGGAAGTGCGCGCCGTACATAGCGTCACCCTAGAGACATCGGCGACTGGGACGCCACGAGAGTCCTGAACTCATTGTTGGGCCACAGGCTGTGGCGGGTAACAATAAATGTGATCGCCCGTAACGCAGGGGCGTCAATAGCAAATATACACCTGCCTAGGTAGGCGGGATCATGGGTACCTTTGGCAAGATTGAAGACGGAGCAATGTAGCTGAGAGGGTACAAGATGAAGGGACCCAATAGCTCGGGAAGGTTCCAAGCAACCGGTCGAGTGGGATGAATGTCTTACTGCAAGATTGCCGTAATCGCGTGAGCAGTTGTTTAGGGCTAGTGCCGAAGTTGGCTTAGCATAAGGGCCACGTGACCTTGCGCTCTCCGCTCCTCTGCGCGCGGAGACCCTGTGAGAACCGTGATGCTATTCCAGCACGTCGATCATAAAAAACACAATCGAAGTCGACAATCACATCTGCATCGCAATTGCGACTGTTTTCAGCTCCGACCACCACCATGCCCGACCTCATAAGCCTTGAAACAAAGCCGAAGTGGGGCGGCATACCCGTCTGCTTCCCCGATGACAAGCTGGGTCTCCCATACAGACTAGGGCACGTCAAAATCTAACCAGTGCTGCGTCCGGGCGCCGCCATTCATTACCTAAGGCACTTCGGGTTTGAGACGTTCCATTCGTAGGTGGAGGTAATGAAAGTGTGTGGAAACACCGATGATTGGCGAGAGTAGGCTTCATCATGGCCCGTCAACGCCCCGGGAAGAAGCGTCGTCCGCCACGCCGCCGTCGATTATCGGACGCAATAGCGCGTATCTGCACCCACGTGTGTAAGTACGGAAGACAAGGACTCGCGCTTCACACTACGCCGACGACCCAAGAAATTGCCAGCCACGATAAGCCAGCATGCGAGGATCCTCACTGGGATTTCGGCTTGGCCCAGTCGAGGACCCGTACCTCGTCAAGCAATTGCGCAGAGGGTTATACACCTCATTTGGTCATTTTGAGGTCATGCATGTTGCATGATGAGCCTTGAGTTCCGCATTATCCACCACGGGCCGTCGAAGCAAAGGCTCACAATTGATCCTTCATGTTGACAGAGCCTCAACATTGACTTCTTGGGTGGCCCGCACGGTTGACTGTCGGCGGTCATCAATGTATCGCCCGATGGGGTGTGGCTTGAGTGTCCTGTCCTATGGAACCCCCACACTGCACATGAGACGGCGAAGCCATGCGTCCGTTCACACCTGGGGCCCATACCCCGGCTCCGCCTTGAGACTGCATCCTGGTCGGCTGCTGTGCCCCGTACATCCATCATTCTCTGCTGGCTAGCCTTCCACTAAACTACCACCCCAGTAATTCTTGGCTGCATGCGAGAGCGATATTCCTTGTCATTCTTGCAACCATGCTCGCTCCTAACCCTAGTCCCTTCGACTGGATCCACAACAAACGCCATCCTTGCTTCGCGGGATGCTCAGAGTCGTAGTATATCGAGTTGGCCCATTCATATGTAAAGCCCCAAACGCTCCCCCATACCACAGCCAGATCGATCGAGCAAGTCCACAACACTCCCACGTCATCTGATTCTCTATCTCCACCACTTTGTCTTATTGTACACTTGATAGACCTATTCCCGACAACTCTCAGCCCAGCCCACACTTGCATCCCATCTGCCCACCCCGTGGCACCAGCCTTCTTATCTACGATGGCTACTGTCGTTGCATCTCATAACATTGGAATTTGGCAAGATCGACGGGAACCATCTATGCACATTCCCAATATGCATCTCACCAACATCATGCCTCCCTACGACAACTCCAGGAATGTCACCAACGCTCCAGTCTCTCGCGATTACCAACCCACCTCAAACCACATGGACATCAACATGCCCCTCTACCAAAACAATGCCCTCCCTACTTCGGTCCCATACCAAGCGGGAGCGTTCGCATACGACCCCAGTTCGGTAAACCCATACAACATGCAGCAGCCTTCATACTACCCGCCAGCGATGCCCCATCCCGTTTCATACGCTTCCTCCCATGACGTCCAGCCGCTTCCCACCCTGCCAGATGTCCGACATGTTTTCAATCACAACGTCAAGTCCGAGGGCACATCACCAGCGCATTCAGGCCATAGTCACATGTACGCCGATCAGTCATTTACATCTGACTGCAAACGATCAACGTCGGAGCCTACCGAAGGCAGTGGCGTGAACTTCGCCACTGATGTGGACACTCTTATGAGGGCTATCCAGGCGAAACAAACAAACCCGCCCCAAGAACCGGAGCAGAAGGTATGTGGTCTTCCCTTGAGATACCCAACCCGACCTGACCTCGCTAACCATCAAACAGGACGACGTAGTGAAGACTGCTCAGAAGCCAAGGAAGCGTTACCAGTGCACCGTCCCCAACTGCAATAAGAGCTTTTACCAAAAGACACACCTTGAGATCCACATTCGCGCCCACACCGGCGACAAGCCATTTCCTTGCAAGGCACCCGGCTGTGGTCAATCTTTCTCGCAACTAGGTAACCTCAAGACACACGAGAGACGACACACTGGAGAGCGACCGTACAGCTGCGATATCTGTGGCAAGACATTTGCTCAACGGGGAAATGTGCGCGCACACAAGATCGTCCACCAACAGATCAAGCCTTTCAGCTGTAAGCTCGACGACTGTGGCAAACAGTTCACCCAACTAGGCAACCTCAAGGTTAGTTTCACGCATCCTGTGCCTTCACAACATCTCTGACCGGCTTTAGTCGCATCAAAATAAGTTCCACGCCGCTACTCTTAGGTATCTTACCACTAAGTTTGCGACCATCAACCCAGGAGACTACGTCTCTCAAGAAGACAAGGAGCTTTGGGAGTACTTTGCATCGCTATACAAGAACTCCAACAAGGGCATCAAAGGCCGTGGCAAGGATAGGCGCATCTCTGCCATGTCAGCATCTGCCTCCTCATACCCTTCTTCCTACGCCTCCATGCCAATGGCTTCCATGTCTCGAGGCTACGCCAGCTCTTTCCATCAACATAGCAGTGATCGTAGCAGCCGCTGCTCTTCGATGTCATCTGACACCATTCCAATCCAGAGGGCAGACAGCGCATACGACTTCAGCGCACCAATGCACAACGGTTACCATCAGCCCCAAGGCAATGGCTACGACGACAAGGTCTTTCCAGAGCGGATGATGTACTGAGCACGCTTGAACACTTTGGAAAACTTCGGTCGAATTAGTGGGAGTTCTTGGATATTGGCGCTGACACCTTGCGGTCATCGGGGTTACGGGTGATAGGTACCCAAGCTAGCGCAGCGAAGGGTACATTCGCATCTTTTCTTTCATCTCCTTGGTTTACACGGGCGTTATGGCATAGTCACGCTGCATCAGTAATGTCTGTTATGCCTTTTCATGTGCGCCCATCACGTTTGGCGTTCAGCACCTCATGTATCCTCATTCCATGTACGCTTGTTTGGCAATCGGTCGCAAAAGGTTTTTACTGTCGTTGGCATACCCCGGCACGCATCATTGTACGAATAGAATAGCATTATGACATAAAGAACAATTATTTACCCAGTCAGCATTCTCCTTCTCATTTTCCCTCAAACATTAACAGAATCCAGTGTGGTGCAAGATGACTCACCGCTCAACCGCTGTTGAACGGCTGGATGGTATGCGACTGGCTAGTTGGTCATGCAACATGCAAGGCCACTTGCCCAACCCATTCACCGCAGTTTTCTGCTTGCAACAACCTTCGCTTAGATTTGCACCTGAAGGTTCAGTAGCTTGACATGCGAGTGGTGTAATTGCATTAGCTACACGCCCAGACGCACCTTAATTTTAGCTGGGTTGTCCATGCCTGTAGAGTTCAAGATAGGAACTGACGTTTCTGAGCTACGGCTCACTGCCGCCGATTGCCGACAAACTACGCACTGGCGCGAGTAAGTGGGTTGCAAGCTGCCTAAGGTGATGCGCCGCGCAGTGCCTACAAGCTTGCACAAGGCCGAGTGCCCCATAGTGGACCGCACTGATACACTCAAGATTCATGAACAGTTTTTTATGGCCCAATTTTCCAGTCAGTCTCCCTCGTCGCAAAACCGACCACCTCTCCATGTCCTCACTGAGGCTGATAGCAACCCCACCGACCAATCGCATCATGGGCAGAGCTTCTCCGCGGCTCAACAGTGGGAGGATAAAGCGCAATTGGGCAAGTCAAGAGATGTACATCCCACGCTTCCGCCGCCCCCAGATCGCAGACCAGGTTCCCAAACCCAGACGTATGCAGGCGTTCTGAAGAGGATGTAGGACGGATCGCTAAGCGACCAATAGCACCATCTTTGGGCTGCTATGCGTCGGATTCCAAGGCGTCCTCACACTCTTTCACGAAGGCAAATGATATTGGCCATTGTCTGGAACGATCAGGGTACGTAACCTCGCCGGCTTGAATCGTGGATGACGTTGAATACGGTGCGACTAAGCTAGAAATGCCCGAAGCCTCACTTACACGCGCTGCGTGGCTACAGACACTGAATCCGAGTGTGGGGTTATATCCGCAAATCGGGTACGATCTTCGCTCTCCTAATTGTCGATCCGTGTGTCTACGCAGGTCCAGAATTCAAGATGCCATGACGTAGGCCCGCCAACATTGCGCGAAAATTGGGCTTGCCTTGGTGAGGCCTCATGATAGGAAAGTTCGTCGCATTGGGCGAGCACATGGATAGGGGTGCGATGCTGATGTGGATTGGAGTGGGAGTTGGAACAGGCCGTGGGGTGGGATGCCTATCACCCCGGGCTTCAAGAAACCGAGGCATCGATTCTCGATGGACTGAATATGGTGTGATGAGATTGATTGGACTCAAGGATGCGTTTCAAATCAACGCATCTGCTTGCAAGGTCAGAAACTTGAGGGTACGTCGACGGAGCGCGGGGAGGCCAAACTGTTGGTCGACGTCTCGATGGCAGCAAGGTCGTGCTTGTCAGCGGTCATGTCACTGCTAGCGCACAACTCGCTGCCTCGCGCCCAACCTCCAACTTGACCCTCTCGCCTCCACTCTGTCAACGTCCTCATTTCGACACGTGGAACAACGTACTCCGTTCGCACGGTCTTCGTTCTCTACCTATGTCACTGTGGTTGTTTTTTGACGTTGGCCCGCGTTCGCAGATGGTCGCAAAGGTCGTCGCTTCCAGCGCGCATTGTTGTCTGGACCAGGACCGCGGAAGCCCCTGCGAGGGCCGAGGGGCACTCCCGCTGCTCTCGTCAAGATGCCGGTCCTCAGCTCGCACCCCCTGCCTCGCTCGGTTGAAATCTTCCGGAAGCAGCTTACCGTCTCGCCGGGACCCTCTTTTGTTACCCATGGAGTACCTGAACATGGTAATTCGAGTCAGTCGATGTAGCTCTCGCCGACTTTGGCAAACTCTATGTCTTGTTGATGAGCTGGCCTGTCTCAGTGGCCAGGCATCTGAGTCGTGCGTACTACGGGTAAATCTATGCGAAAGAGAGGTCTTGAGAACACGAACGCGAATCAAAGCGGGTCAGGCAGCTTCCAGAATTGACGCGGCTTTGCAAAACTCGTCGGTGGGCCTGACGGAAACTCAAACATACGCCGTATTCCCGGCCAGAACGCTGAATGTTGGTCGCCACGGCGAGACGAATGGCTAATAAGAGGCCACAGATGCATGCTCCTCACAGCAAGCACACAAAATGCCCTGGAAGATAGGAAAACACCATTACAGGTCCGCTCCATCATGACAGCATCCGCGGAGCCGACCACTTTCATCATCATACATCCCGATCCTAGCACTGCAAGATCTAACCCACACGTTCTACCCTGAGATTTCTCTTGGGACATTGCATATGCAATGTGTGTACCCGTCCCCAGACACATGACTGTGTATCCCCACTCACGCGCTGAGAACGTGTGGTCTGAAACATACGCAAAGTTACACGGCATAAAACAGCTCGCTAGATTGGGTAGCCTTTCATCCTGCATCGAATCGCAGGTGCCGCCTGCAATATCGTTCTGCGGTGCTCTTCGGAGAATTTTCAGAGCAGATGCAGGGCTTGTATGGTGGCGGAAGACTTTGTCTGCATACTCGTCACAGCACTTGAACCTTAAACGCGGAGTCATCGAAGAAAATGGGAAGGCCGGGCAGCGGATGTGGTACTCGCCGTGAGTACGCGACACACGCCCCATGGCGCATCAACCTCAGATACCACGCCTTCATCTCTGTTGGTACGTATCTGCTCGTATTGTCTTGACGCATGTCTCACTTTGACAGGTGAGTGACCTTCACCTGTGTCCTGTCAGATTGCTGGTGCTTAGGCGAGACGAAGAGTTGACACGCGAATAAGGTGGAACACGTCCTCTTCGAGACCGCCATACATACGTACACCTGCTCTACTATTGGGCCGGGATCGTGTACCTAGCTTGAAAACTTGCGGCATCTCAGTGACAATACGAGGATAGCTCGGCCATGGGTTCCAGCTCTTCCGGCAACCACGTCTATTCTTAAGGTTACACGGTGTCGTGGGCGCCTCACCCCCGGCCCTCGGCTCTCCATACTTTGACAGAGAGATGAAGGTCTCGGACATGTCCGTCTGTATGCATCTTCCGCTGCATTGTAGATTGCCATTTGTCCGCTTCATGTTCGGTAGACTATCTGGACTGTTCTGCATGCCGATGTCGTTCTCGTACGTCTTGCTTTCCCGTCCGTCACTATTGCCACTCCCGAGCCTGTTCGTCTATATTTTTCCTCACAGGGGGCGCCTCCGGTGGACCCAGTTCAGCCTCCCTGCAATCTCAACTCTATGTAGCAAAGAAAAGCGCAGTCGTACAGCGCTTGCTATCTTGCCCTAATGGACCGTTTGGGTACGAGTGAAACATGAGGATATTGGGAGCCAGGGCGCCCTGTTTGCATATGAAAACGTGCGCATATGCTCACAGCAGCTTTCCGAATGAGCATGCTGCATGCAGATAACGGGCTTCTGGGAATTATGAGAGTCAGAGTATCGTGTTACTTCGAGGCAGACCTGCATATTATGCAGGAGGCCGGTCGGAACGGGCCTTGGACCTACTGGATGTAGAGATGTATTACTTCAGCCGAGGAACATTGGAGAGCGACGTCGTACTTGGCGAGAACGTAAGTATCATAAGCGTGGGGTTTGAGTGGCTGTGAGACCAATATGGAGGACGAAAATCAGCTGGCTAGTCCAGCGCGCGTGACATTATGATGTTCAACGTCTCGCACCCAATCGAGAGGGGATTGCAGAACAGGCGATATCAGTCGCCCGAAGCGTAGACGTCAAATCTGTCAGTGAGCACCTACCACGCCTAAGTGTCAACCTTCAGAGCTGTAAAGCCAACACCTGCATCTACTATCATAGCGAATTTACCGGGAATTTTATCGAATCATACGATCTGTTCACGACATTTCGTGTGTTCAGGAAGATTATCGCACTCCGAAACGAACGACGCGCTCTACAGTGCACCTTCCTCGCCATCTGGTTCACGACTGTGCTCAGGCATCACCATAGAGTTCACGGAAAATGCCTAGAAGATGATTGAGGCGCATCTTGTCGAAATCAATATTCGTCCCCTTGGTGGCTGATATCATTTGTGCAGCTTCATTTCCAGGTTTCAGAGCGGGTGACCAGCTTCCGTCGATCGATTCTTCCGCGACACTTCCACAACAGGCTTTAGAAGCATTCTACGTAACGTCTTCAACATTGGGAGGGTATCGTTTCATAAAACCTCAGTCGTGTTGCAGTGCTTGGGTTGGATAGTAAACATCGAGTATGTGGGCAGTTACCTATCTTGGAGAGCCGCTCTATAGCACTGCGCCGCCGGTTCCAACCAACGTACCGAGTATCAAAGCTAGCCTCAGCGGCGTATCTGCACTACTATCCGTATTTCAGTATCCTGCTATGAAAATTACAGCAGCATCGCTAGCACTGCGAGGACGCTCTAATGGCGGTTGTAGGAATGGCACTGCATCAGATACAGCACGACATGGACCTCTGTCACGAAAAACAGTAGTTTCACAGCAATACAGTCTTCGCAAAGTAGTATAGCTTACATTTAGGCATAGGAACAATCAATGCAAGCTGAGCTCACCATAGGCCGACTCTCACCCGGGATATCTCCTAGCTTTGCATCAATCCCAAGAACACGACTATTGGGGCAAGAAGCGGGCAAATTCGTTTCACGGCCGACCAGCTGTAGTGTACACGATGATGACACCGCGCATATATCTGTACATGCATGCAACAGGGCGAGCATTTTCTTGCGAGGATACCTTACAATGTACATGTATCAAGGTATGCGATGCATCAGTCGCTCCATACCATATGCTAAGCCCAATCCGACAAGCTACAGCGGGTGCACCGTTTACCATCATGTACGTCCAAGGCGAGACCGTGCGCCACTCACTCCCTTCGAGCATGTCGTTAAAGTTTAACTAATGCGAGTAAACTTTAACCCTGAACCAAGATACGTGAAGCAGAGTTAACCAACAAGAGATACGTGTCTCATCGGTGACACCGATGCACAACGAAGGACTTCATGATGATCTCGCCATGTACCGCCATGGTACCGGGGTGTTTCTGCACGCTCCAATCAACTGGCAGGACACGTACTATGTGATCATTCGATGAGAAGACTTGTCAACGCTAATACCCTCATTCAATCTTCTCCTCTCAATGACAGTCCCGTGGCATTGGTAGCTGTCATAAGATGCGCATTCCCATGGTACCCGTACTTGCTAGCGGGAAACTGGGGGGCGTTCTCAGCTATCTAGATACACTTCGCCACAGCAATTCACCCCGCAAAACGTATATCCCAATCAAACCAACCAGCCCTTGGCTCAGCTCGATTAACACCCATGTAAATGCACATCCGGTAACCTAGAAGCTAGCCTCGCAGTACGTTGATCCACACAGCGGTGAGAAAGGCAAGTTTGTGGTGTGGCGGGTGTCCCAGTCCGATTTAGGAAGTTGGTGTGTGGAGGTGTGGGTGAGAATTGCTTTTTCGCATCCTCTCGCCTCGGTCCCGTTCTCAACGTTGGTACATGTTAGCGAGGGCATCCTGGGAAAGGCTGGGCGCTGGAATTGGGAGGCACATAGCGAAGTGTTGGTCTTCTCACCGCTGGTTTTGCGTGCGCGAGGCTCGTGACGCGATGCACTTTCGTTGAGAGGGTGGCAGTTGTGGGAGAGAAGAGGATGCCCCGCGATTTTGAGAGATGGGCGGCTACTGCTGGTGCTGCTTCTCCCGTCTTCAAAACCTATCTAGGACTTCGAGGTGGCCCGTAGTTCCGAAGTGTACCTAGGTATGCTAGCGCTTGACAAATGTGCCTATTACGGAAAGGGGCTGGGGCTCGGCTTCCCCGAGCGCATAATCATGACAAGATTGGGTGAAGAGCACATTCAGCCTCTTGAAATGTAGACGGGAGAGTATTTCCTTTTACTGAGGCGCATGTTCTTGGATGCAGTCTGTTCGTAATACGGATATATCGCTACATGCTGCTCTGCAACGACATGTAGTGCAAGAGTCACTGTACACAGTTTGTTAGCATCGGAAGTGTGAAGGCTCCAACCATCTTCTTCTTCATCTGCAAATAACAAACTTAAATCTAATTGGTTACGTGTTACTCTCTAGCACTGTCGCCACCTCATGGAGAGAGAAACACTGTGGATGCATCCGTTGCTTCCCGTCTCCCAATCTCAACACGTATTGAAGCACAGTACTCATATATAATACCATCAATGTTCAAGACCCCAGCTGCTCATACTCTCACCAATGTCTTTGTATTTGTCTTCCAATCCACCCATCAGCCCCACTTCTCCATCTTCCCATCCACCTCTCACTCTTCCATCCCCCAAACATCTCCAACCCTAAACCCCACTGGAAAAGGATCCCCATTATCCATTAAAACCTGCCTGTATCCTGTAATCCACGCTCTCCCCTTGACCCTCGGTAGGATCGCCTCATAACCCGCTACTTTCGTCGTACCCAAAATACTACACTGAAACTGCGTACCCACAATACTCTTATGAGTAAACTTCTCTCCAACCTTCAAGAACCCCTTCGCGTACAACAGCGCCATCCGTGCAGAAGTCCCCGTCCCACAAGGACTCCTATCGAACCTGCCCGGGCTCACCACCACTGTATTAACCGCGCTCAAACTCCCATCTTCATCCTCCTTCTGCACCGGCCCCGTAAACTCAATCGCACTAACGCCCCTAATCTGCTCATTCGCCGGGTGAACAGGTTCATAAACCTGCTTCACTTTTCTGAAAATCCTTTGACCAAGTTCCACCAGTTGTCTACCATGTTTATTCTCAACCGCCAGACCCAGACCCAGCTTCTCTACATCTACAAGCACGAAATACATGCCGCCCCACGCTACGTCTACTTCGATGACGCCTAAACCTTCGACGTCGACTGTAAGACCTAGCTCTTGTACGAAAGCAGGGACGTTGTCAAATTCCACGCTCTTGACCTTGCCCCCCAAACACTCTGCCTTCACTCGCACAAGCCCCGCCGCTGTATCCAACACCACCTCACTCACTGGCTCTTTCATCTCTAACATCCCGCTCTCCAACAGCACCGTCGTAACGCAAATAGTATTACTCCCGCTCATAGGCGCATACTCATCACTCTCTAGAATAAGAAAGCCGGCGTCGGCGGAAGGGTCGCAGGGAGCGAGGAGCAGATTCATGCATTGTGAAACGCGACCGAGCGGCTCTTGCATGAGGCGTTGCCGGTAGTGGTCGGCATTGTTGAGGAAGTATTGCAGTTTGGCGTACATGCTGGGTAGGTGTGTTGGGTCCGGGATGCCCGAGGTTATCACGTCGCCGACTTCGCCTTCGGCGTGGACGGTTGTTATTTGTATCATAGGAGAAGTGGTGGTAGAGGGAGAGGGGTCGAGGATGGGTGTTGACATTGTGGTGAGGGAGAGAGGTCGTGCTGGAGAAGATATTAGTATATGTGTAGACATGCTGGATAAGAAGTATGTATGTTCTCACCGAGACTTTGGTATATGTATCGTAAACTATTTCTCCTTCTTTGAATTCGATAAGTTGACAATACTGCGTGACCACGTCCTGGAAACACGGCAGCTGGTATATGTCCCTCTACGACAAGATTTCGAGAGACTATATATTCATCACCCCAGAGATGGATATAGTCAGCGTACTACCATATCCTGTACACGACCCACACAAACGTGCTCGTAGGGCGTGCTGAGCACAGCCAAGTGTTAAGGTCCATACCCCGCTTCCTACAACGAGGGGTCAAGCTTACCAATATGTCAAAGATGAACTGTGTTTCTAAGCACACTACCACGAACAACTCAGATCAGTAGGCCTGAATGCTGCATGTCGACCATATTACTATTACTATTCCAAGAGGCGACTCTTTCTCCCTAAGTTCTATGATGTTACAAACAAGGGCTTTGCTCTGCAAAGCCAGACTGCTATACTCAAACTTTTGATGCAACGAACGCGAAGAATGGTATGTACACGCAGAAAGAGGTAGCCGATGGACATCGGCCTGCGATCGCACAAGCATATATACACCTTAACCCCCACCCAAATCATAACGGCGTCTCAGGGTCAACCCACCTGCAGTATTATGCAGCCGGGAGGAACGTCTAGCGGAGCTTCTTCGTCTCAGAAGCATATGTGCGGTCGTTCTCGTCACCCTCGACTTCCTCGACCATTTTGTCAACGGCCTCGGCTTGCTTCTTCCACTCGCTTTGGCACATCTTGAGTTCCTTCTGGAAGAGCTCGTCGTTGGGTTTCCTGTAGCTTCCACCAAGGCGGTCCCAAAGTGTTGTGTATTGACCGTAGTTGTAATTGAAGTATAGATGGTGCATGGTATGGCAGGCAGCACCGTTGATGATGGGCGAGTTGTGCGCGTATTCACCGTCGTGGATCAGGACGGTCCAGATGTTGACGAAGACGAAGAGGAAGACGTATGCGAATTTGGATAGCGGGAACAGGAAGGGGAAGACGTGGTAGGGAAGACCCTGGGCATAACCGTCGGCGGGGTGGAAAGCGTGCGAGGCGAAGGGAGTCGGCATGATCCACTTGTGATGCGGCTTGTGGACGTGCTTGTAGATGCGGGGGTGGTGGAGACCGCGGTGGATCCAGTAGATGGCCGAGTCGGTGAAGAGGAAGAATAGCGGGAACTGCAGGTAGTTGTACCAGAGCCCTGGGCCTTGGTCCACGGTGTCGTATAGCTTGGAGTATCCGCGGACTTCGAGGAGGAACCAGGGCACGGTGAAGATGGCCATGATGGGGAAGGCGATGTTGGCTTGCTTCATCTCGAGCTTGATCTGGTTCTTGAGGTATCGCGGGTGGTTGAAGGTCGACTTGTCGAAGACGAGGAAGTACGAGGCGCCTGCGAAGACATAATATACCAGGACACCGAAGAGCCTGAAGAGTTGTTAGAGGAAGATTGCGTAGAAGGCTGGGGCAGCGCATACCATGTGATGAGGTACAAGGACAGGGCCTGTCGCCGCCAGTCGTCGCGTGTCCATTGGCTCATGTAGGCATACTTGGAGGGTGTGACGGAGAAGAATTGTGTCGAGGGCTCGTACTGCCAGGTCGCATGAGGAACGACAAAGCCCGTGGGCTCCTCTCTAATGCTCGAAATCGTTGCATTGCCGACGAAAGAGGGTGTGGAAGCGGGAAGGAGCGTTGCGTATAGAGGGTCGAATAGAAAGGTGTCTGCTAATTCGAGGACGACGTCCATGGCTATTCGGGCTGGGGCGAGGGGATGCCTCGGCGACCCGTGGATTCAGGTACGGAAGGCTTGCGATTCGTGATGTTTCGGAGGACCAACGGGCGCAGAAAATGCAGACGATTCACCTAGTCGCACAACAAGAGACGGGCAATGAGAGCAATGCAAAGAAAGCAGAGTATCTGGGTAGAGTATAAACGAATGTGGGGAGGCGAATGCTCTTGTTCAAGTAGATGGTAATAACGGCAACGCTTCCATTTATCGGCGATAAGTTTTCGGCGCCCCGAGTACAAGCGTCCCTGAGGGAAATGCCGCCAGGGTCCATGTTAACTGCTTTGGTTCCTCAACCGTGGATGGTGTGCCAATCAAGCGTCAAGACGGCCGACTAGAGAGGATCACGTGATTACGCATCGCAATCTCGCGTGACGGAAACGACGCATCCGCTGGTTCCGAGAGTGGACTGACAGCCCTACAGAGGCTGCCCCTTATCAGATCTTCTCATCCGATGCTCGGAACATGCTCGGACGCTCACAGCACGGTTGACACGCCACTCTTGCGCTTACAAACCGTGATTGCGCGTTTTGTGGCGTGCATTTGTCTTGACTGGTAGCAGGAATGGTCAATTATTGGTGGCGTGAAAGATTTGGATCTAGGCGGTCTCGGCAGACCCTCTTGTGAGCCGTATACAGCTGATGCTCATTCGTCTCTATTCCATACCTGGCTTCGACGACACAATTACTTTGCCACGATACTGACAACATCCTCATCGCTAACTACATGTCCCAAGCCCACCTTCTGTGGCACGTGCCTGGCACTCGCACCCCAGACCAGAGCATGCTTGAATGTCTCCTTCAGCGTCCGATGCACTTGGTCGCAAACATCTTCGATCGTGCTTCCGTGCCGTACAATGAGCGCCTCTGAGAAATCTGGGTCATTGCCCTTCCTCTTGGTGTACACCCTAATAAGTCTCAACTCTTCCCAACACCTGTCCACGACGTCTTGAATGCCGAGGTCGAGCTCACAGCTCATGACGACGGTGTGCGGCTCTCGTGCCAGTTCGTCCAAGTGCGGGAGACCAATGCTATCGATCTTGTTGTACACGTAGAGACACTTGATGTATTTCCTGTGGTCCTTCATGATGACATCGATGAAGTCGTCGACTGTTGCGTTTTCGTCTCGGACGAGGACTTCGCAGTTGAGCATCTTGTAGTCTTTGAGAATGTTGTAGACCATCTTCTCGTCGAGATGCTTCGGCGGGACCTGGAAGTTGATCTTCATGCCGCCGGCCTTTTTGGGCTTGAGGTAGATGTTCCTGTATGCCGATGAGATCATGTCATAACGGGAAGAGTTGAAGTGAACTTACGGCGGCTCGCGGTTCAATCTGATACCTACGGCTTCCAATTCAGCTTCCAGCAATCGCCTCTGTTCTGCCTTCTTCGTAGCATCAAGAATCATGCAGATGAGATCACTTGTCTTCGCAGCACTAATGACCTGTCTTCCTCGTCCCTTGCCCTCCGCAGCACCCTCAATGATACCCGGTAAATCCAAGACCTGAATCTCAGCACCACCATACTCAAGCACACCAGGAATCGCCGTAAGCGTGGTGAAGGCGTATGATGCGGCTTCCGATTTCGTCTTTGTGACTCTGGAGAGGAAGGTAGACTTTCCTACCGAGGGGAAGCCAACGAGTGCAATACGCGCATCTCCGGATTTCGATACATCAAATCCTTGTCCTCCGCCGGAACCTGCACCTGCAGCGGGTTCGAGGAGTTGGGCGCGGAGACGGGCAAGTTTTCTGTAGCGTTATTAGCACAGAGATTATACAAAGGAGTATAGATAGTATACCCTTTCAGTAGACCAAGATGGTATTCTGTACTTGAATGTCAGCACGTGATACACAGTGCATCCAGTATCAATAGACTGAAATCTGCTTAGACATACCCGTAGCCTTATTCTCTGCATAAAGTTAGCCCGAGTCCCATTATAGAAAACCACTGTTACACTCACTCTGCGTCCTCCTCATCTCATCCTCAATCCTGGCGGGGCGTTAGCGCAAGGCCACATCAAAACTTCGGCGCTATCCCACTCTTTGATCTTCTCCGTAATGTTCACCATCTTGACGGTCTATTCGCACTCTTCGCACTCTGATAGAGAGGGACTGGGGTGAGGATACGGTAATCGCACTTTGTGGCGGCTGCAGTCCGGCAATATCACGATGGTAAAGGTTTGGTGTTGCAGCGCCCGCAGCCCAGCGCCATTGCTCTTCCGGCCTAGTGCGTCAGCTAGCGAACGCAAGATGCAGTGCGTCATCTGAAAGGTCATGAGCTTTCGCGCCACGTTGGTTTGTTTTGTGATTCCTAGTGCTTAGTCTTGTTGCTTTCTTTCCTATGTTGTTCGTTTCTTACTTCTGTACTGCTTCTTGTTCCGTCTGTGAAGCATGCTGTTCAAATCCTCGGATCCGTGGCCACGCTCGCATCACGACTTATTAGATCATTACCACGCTCAGTACGACAAAGCTATCGCATCTGGGGAATACCAACCTTTTTTATATCCGTGGGGGACCCTTGGTGCACTTTTTGTTATTATATATCTTCTCATTCCGCATCAGAATCGGCCGTGGCTTGAGAAAGGACGATACTTGGCATTTGCATGGATTACAGGATTTGCAACTTACAGTAACTTATACACAAAGGCGAGAGCTGTAGCGCCAGCTTTGGGTATCGGCCTGGTCAACGCATGGAGTATAGCATGGGTTGGCGCCATCATAGTGTGCAACGATGCACAGACAGACTTCATGAGGATTGAGAGGACCGAAGGCGTTTTCGGGTCAGATCCACATCGACAGAAAGAGATGACCCAGCAGGATGGAGTTTCCGACAAAGATCAGGGTGTTAAGAATCAGACCCTAAAAGACGACCTCGTCAACAGCTCCTCCGGGCCACGAGACCGTCACGGCCAATACGCATGGCAACCCTACCCCCTCCGCCCCTTCATTGAGCGCCTAGACTGGGTGCTGGATATATTCTGCAACTTCCGTGGCATGGGCTGGAACTGGCGCATCGCCGCCCTCCCACCACCCCCCAAACCCATACAAACGCAACTCGACACCAACTCCAAGTCCACCGTACCAAAGCACACCTACAAAACCCACGCGGGCCAAGTAAAACAATTCACAGAACGCGGAGAACTCCTCCGCCAAAACTCATGGAGATTATTCAAAGGCTACCTAGTCCTCGACGCCCTAAAGACAACAATGATGTGGGATCCCTATTTCTGGGGCTGCATGGACAGAGCACCACCAAGCCACCTCCCCTCATGGCTTACAAGCAGTCCGGCACTAACACACACATACCACCTCGTCCTCTCGATGCTCGCCGTAAAATACGCGCTCCAAACCGTCTTCGCCCTCGGCCCCCTCTTCTTCAACGGCCTCCTCTCCCCCTCGCTGCTCGGCGCCCGCGCGGAACCCTGGATGTATCCTGAGACGTGGGCGCCGTACAGCGTTGTCTTGGAGAAAGGGCTCGCGGGCTGGTGGGGGAATTGGTGGCATCAGACCTTTCGGTTTGGGTTCCAGGAACCTAGTCGGAAAATTATTGAGGTGGCGGGGTGGGATAAGAGGAGTGTTGGTGCGAAGGCATTGCAGCTTTTTGTTGCGTTTGCATTGAGTGGGTATGTGCATGGTAGTGGAAGTTATACTGCTATAGGGGAGACGAGGCCGGTGAGGGGTCCGATGGCGTTCTTCCTGCTGCAGGCTGTGGGGATCTTTGTTGAAGCTGCGTTGACTCAAGCTGCGAAGTCGGCTGGACTGGAGAGTAATCTGCCCAGTTGGCTGAAGCGAGGATGGACGTTCCTGTACGTCCACGTATGGTTTTATTACACGGCCCATCTTCTCTGCGACGACTTTGCTCAAGCGGGCGTTTGGCTCTTCGAACCCATTCCTGTCTCTCTGTTCCGTGGACTGGGATTCGGGCCTGATGCAAGAGATGGGTGGTGGTGTTGGAGCGGACAGCTCGTACGGTGGCATCGTGGAGATACTTGGTGGACAACTGGTATCGCATTTTAGAAGCTTCCACCATCTCCTACGTGCAAGTCACACGTCGCAAAGCGCCTGGTAGATTCCCTACATACAGCACTGTAAATCGACCTTCAAACCCAGGAGGAATAGACCACAATGTTCAAGGACGTATGTCCTGTCTTCCCATCGACCTGCCAAAGAGAAAAGATTTGCAGTTTTCACTCCCCCAGTCACTGCGAAAGACCGGTTGCCTTGTCTTGCATTAAGTGTTCAACCAACATCCGTTTTCTCGATTTCACAGGTCACTTCCACCTGCCAGCACAGTACACGTTACCTCTCACTCTACCCCCCACAACCTCACACTACCACATACGCTCACTCCTCGTATAGCTTTTGCCGTTGAAAACGTTCACGCAAAACGACGTACACCTTCTGAAGACAATCTTACCGAAACCCGATTCAAAAAAAAATCGCCGGTAATGCAACAAGAGCCCTCATCAACAGAAAGAGAAATCATCTTCAACCTAACCTGGCGCTACCTCTCCCACGCCGCCGTCCCCGCCATGCTTCCCGCCAGCGCTCTCGACGCCAACGCCTCTATCCCACGCGCGTTTTGCCCAGAGGTTTATGATGGAGTGAGGAAGACGGTGAGGGATATGCGCGAGGAAGGGCAGTGGGCGGTTTGGTATTGGGTTGTTGGGCCTGGAGATGGAGAAGGGAGGGATGAGCAGAAGGAGAGAGTAAGCTGGCATCCGTGTTTTAGGCTGCCTGCGAATCGGTGAGTTTGTGGTGTGGTGGAGGCGGAGGGAGATTGGGTGTGGTATGTGTCTGTTTGGTCGATTGGTCACTGACATCGAATAGGCGTGTCGTTACACGTAACGTTCACTTGAACACCTCCCCTACCTCTATCCCTTATCCTAACACCAACACCACCCCCTCACTTCCCGGCCCTCCTCCACCCCGCCGGCGTTCAATATCCTCTTTCTCCTACCTATCCACCAACCCGGACCACCACACCCCTAACCCCATCGTTAATCCCATCGCCAACCCACACAGCAGCCACATCCGGCGATCAAGCGCCGACACAACGCGTCCAATGAGTTCAGTTCGCGAAGAAGGTAGGAGCGAGGAGGGTAGTGTGGATGCGGCGAGTGTGAGTGAGAGGATAAGGAAGAGTTCGAGTTTACATGTCAGGCCGTGGATGGTTAGCAAATGAGTGAAGAGAGGGAGAAGGAAGAGAGTGTATTGGATGGAAGATTTCATTGGGAGTTCATGGGGCAGGACACCAGAGGAGTAATCACGCAAGCCCACGCGTCAACATCGAGTTCGCAAGATTCCGCCTTCCTGCCTTCCTAATTCATCACGATCCCGCTGCCATAGATGCAGACAGAAAGACATCTCACTCCCTCCCTCCAAGCCACTCTTCCGCTCACCCCACCAATCTTTCCCTTTCTTCCCCTCTCGTCCTCTCCTTCCATGATCCATATTTAGTACACCCCAACAGCTCCACCTCTTTCCCCTGCCTGAGGAAAAACTTCGGCTTACCCTTCACCTCCCTGCCAACCCTGTCCTACCTTCAATACTTAAACTTTTGCCTGCGTCAATCCCCACCTCAAAACTCAGTCCAGCAACGCGTCATGATCCTGAAACGCATAAACACACACACATGCCAGGGTGACTGTCAATCACGTCATGCAAGCCTTCGCGACCATGACTGGCAGTACCGAGATGAAAGGGCGTCAATGCGAACTTTGACGTGAGGCGAGATGTCGAGTCAGTTAGACCTTGCAGCATCAAGGCAGTATTCGACTCAACTCAACTGTTGGGAGGAGTGAGTAACGCCGAATCTTAGTGAGAAAATGGAAGGTGGGAATGGTAGTAGGAATGGTAATAATAGATATAGTACATGCATGCGCCACACTCTATGGCACATCGCCCAGTCTGGTCCGGTCCGTCTAGCCACACACACTGCTCGACCAAACCGAACAAACAAAAGACCGCGCACCGACAACAGCGCATCTCGCAGCAGGGTATCGGAAAGAAACTCGGAAGAAAACGATCGCGCAAAAAACAACCACGATCTCAACGACGATGACAAAGACCCTAGATCTGATGAAAAAAGGAAACATTATGACTTGTGTGGTTGCGTCGCCGCAGATATTGTGTAGTAGGTCAGGTCGTGACAACACTTCTTACAACAAGAAAAGTAAGAAAAAAGAACAGAATAAGATGGCAACCGGAATGCCTGGCCCTACCAATCAAGCAGACCCAAGAACCAAAACTGACTGACACCGACAAACGCCTCAAACGACCAATGCAAATGCCAATATGCCGCTAAACCCCGTGAATCGTTCCTTTTTTGAACTGTGTCTCCTCATATGCTCTGTATTGTGGTGTATTGTATTGTACTGTACGTATGGTATGGTATGGTATTATGACTGCGCTTCGATGATGGTAGGTTGTGAATTAACCTGTAGGGTAGGTGTAATGGGGTATGGTAGATATTGATCGTGCTGCTGCTGGTGTGAAGCTTCGGTAGGGTGATTATCTTCTTGCGTGTGCGGCCGTGTGCCTGTGTCAGGGCCGAGATGGGGATCTGGTATTTGGACGTCGAGCTACGAAAAGTCAGTTAACATAGTTTTATTGGCTCTTTCTGGTATACACACTGTCAGGTATCCGGTCCGCCGTAATGGGATTATGCGGACTGCTTCTTTGGACCCAATGTCGCGGTTCCAGTCCTCGATCCAGCGCTCGAGGTCGGCGAGTTGCTTTTTTACGCCGGTGAAGCCCGCATCTTCCCAGAGCCAGAAGGTCGCGATGCCGAGGACGGTGTCGAGGCAGGCGCGGAAGGTGAATGGGTCGAAGGCGTCGACGAGGGTATCGTTTATCTTTTTGATGAGTATCCGGAAGTCGTCTTCGGTGACGAGGGGGTCTAGGATCTCGGGGTAGAGATTGGCAAACGTCGGCGCCAGGTCGCCCTTCATCATCCAGTCGCGCTTTATGCGGATGATGCGCGTCGTGTTGTATAGTTCGGAATCGAGTGGCACATGCGGGTTGGGATGAGGAAAGCAGGGATGCGAAGGACCCCAGGGGAACTCGGACACGGCGTCGGCGTCGTCGTCACCTGCAGACCCTGACCGTCTCGAGTGCAGTGAGGTGCGTCCGGAGCCGGGCAGCGAGACGCGCGACAGGCCGACGGGCTGGTTGTTGCGGCCGACTTCAATGTCTTTGTCGGCATGGGGCGCGGGCGAGACACTGTCCCTGGGGTTGGCGGCAGAGGCCATGGCGAGGCCTGGAGTGGGCGGCTGCGTGGGCGGCTGGCTCCTGCGATCACGCGGAAGGGCGATGCTGGTGCGACCGCTGATGCTGTCCTCGCCCGTGGAACGCTGGACGGCGAGGGAGCTCGGCACAGGGCTCTGGCGACTCAGGCGGCGCTCGGGAAGCGAGAGCAGCGGGTACTCGTCGCGGCCGTCCTCTCTGGCAGCAGTCTCAAAGTCGCGCTCAATGGGCAGATTCGGGTAGTGGTCGTCTCGCAGCGGGCGCAGGGCCTGGGGCGCTGGGGGCGGGTTCTGGATCTGGAGGGTGCGCGGAGACGAGTTGACGGGGTTCCAGAGACGCGAGGCGGGCTGGCGCGGCGGGCCCTGGTACAGCGCGCGCAGGTTGAGGTTGAAGATGCGGTTCGTCAGCGACCAGCGGGCAGGCACTGGCGGCGCAGCAGGCGGCGGGTAAGCAGCGGAGGGCGGGCGTGGAGTCGTCGTCGTGACGGTGGTGAACGGGCGGTGGTGGGTGGTGGTGGTGAATTCCTTAGGGGTCCCAAGGGCAAGTGGTCCATGCTCACTGCAGCATTGGGCCTGCAGCGACGGCCGGGGCGAGGGACAGAGCAGCGGTGACGGTGGGGAGAGTGACAGACAGCAGCGGGGGAGGCGGAATGGTGGACGATGTGTGCTGCGGGTGCTGGACTGTTAAAGGCAGGACGTGGCCGTGTCGTGGTCGCCGTGTTCGTGGCAATGTGTCAATGTCTCACACGGCGGGTTTGGCAATAGTAGAGACAGAAACGGGCCATGGAGATAAACTTTGTCGCATGCAGCAGCAGGAGGGGCGTCACCACGAAAGGGGACAACAGAGACGGCGGGTGCTTCCTTCTTCTTGTACAAAAGACGACACGACACGAGAGCCTCCGCCTCGTCCGGCGCAACTTGGGCACCTCGCAGACCTGGCTCCGTGAAAAAGCGCCTTCCTCTGATGGCTTGTGCAGGCTGATGACTGCCCTGTCGCATCACGCTGACCCCTGCCGCAGCACACCCATCCCCAGGCACTGTGCCTGCATTAAGCCCTGCAGCACCCAGCCGGACCAGCGACAATCCCATCCTCCTGACGACGCTGATGGCAATCTTAGCCATCCATTGCCCTGCTCGACATGCATTCCCTCTCATACTACCACACGTTGACGGGCACACCCACGCCTGCCGTCACCGTTGACATCCGCCGTCCGCCTCCGCTGTCGCTGACCCTGACTATGACCGTGACCATGACGTTGGCACCAAGCCGACGGACGCCTCGAGTACACACCAGCCCAGCCCTGTTTCACAACACAAATCAATGTCGTCTAGCAGAACTACTTCTGCGCCACGATACCGACTAAGCACTCTCTATCCCCAGACTCGCCTTCCCCATCGCCCATCGTCATCGACATCGACATAGTCTTTGCCTTCATCGCTGACAATTGCATGACTTTATGCTCATCTCCATCTCCATCTCCAGCACACCCCTAGTCAACCCTCTCAATGCTAACCCTCCATCTATCTCACACGGTTATACCCATGAGTAGCAAATCCCTTGCACCAATTACCCACCCACGCGCCACATTCCCCCCGGCGCGCCCTGTCAGCCCTTTACCCAGAACCGCGTCGTCGGGATCCGCGCACCTGCTCTCATCTCGACAGTGTTCGTCCGTGTGTTGACCCGACCCCTTTTTTGGATTTTTCTTCCGATGACTAGCCCGTATATGATGTCAGCCGCCTTGTCTGTGCTGTGACGATTTGGTGTACGTCCGGCTGTTTGCAGGTTGCCGAGTGGAGAGAGAGGGAGGTGGTCCACACAGTTGCGGTGGGTTGTGGCTGCGACGTAGGTCGTAATAGTAATTTTCCCTCCAGCCTCACTTTTCCCGTTATCCAGGATCGTCGCCGTGTATGGAGTGTAGACGGCGACTATACCTCTCAAATCCCGGGTATAACACCCTTATAACAATAATTCACGTCCTATTATTGCCGATCTATAAAGCACACACTATTCATTTCACGAACAAAGTCGCTATGCCGGTTCATCTACTCTCGTATTGCTACTAGCTGCAAGATACGTGTGTACCTCAGAATTGTATATAAGTAAAATAAAAACACCAATGTCCCGCCCTCATGTAATGGTATATCCTTCGCGTTGTTCATCGATATCCCAGTCCCAATCCTAGCTTATCATGACCTGACCAAACCGCCCGCAGAGCTCAAAGGCTCTTGCAACAACTATATAACTACCTACTTACAGACAAACCGAAATACGTCGTTTTTTTTGTACGGAGCCCGCCGACTCTCACTCACGGCATCGTATCGTGATCCAGGGAAAAGGGAAAGAAAAACGTAAAGGAAAGTTTCACAGCTAAGTGTGTCATTTGGCATTCGCCTGCATCTTCCTCATTGCCTCGCGGTGTGCATCCATCATCTGGCCACTGCGCATCATGCTATCCATTTGGCTGGCGCGTTGCTGCTGCATCATATCGCGCTGTTGCTTCTCCAGCTCCTTTTGGCGTCGCTCCATCAACAGCGCTGCACGCTGCTGTTCGACGATGTGAGCGGCGGTCTGCTGCGGCGGCGCAATGTCGCGCATCGTGTCGCGCCATCCGGCGTAGAGTTGCTCGCGCTTCTGCTCGGATTGCGCGCTGGAGGAGCGTTTGGGTTGGTGCGAGTCGAAGCCTGCGGGGGCGCCTTTGGTGGCCCACGCTTTGTTTTGCCATTTTTGGGAGGTCGAGGGGGGCGTTCGGCCGGGGGAGCGGAGGGAGGGTTGGTGCGAGAGGGAGGGGGATAGTTGTTGTTGCTGGAGGAGTTGGCGGCGTTGGGCTAGTGTCATGTCTTCATCGTCGCCACGCTGGGAGAGGTTGGGCGAAGACATTTGGGGGGTGAGTGTCAGAGCTGAGGCTCGGTTTTTGATAAGGCTCTCGCGCTTGCTCAGCAAGGTGTTGCTGGGGAGGGGCGAGAGAGTATCAAGTCTTATGGCTGAGTTGGATCGCGAGAGGACCTGGGGAGAGGCAATGGAAGGTGAGTGGGTCAATGATCGCTGGTTGACGAGTGATTCCTGAGAGAAGGTCGAGGTGTTGCGTCGAAGTCCTTGGCTGCTGTTCCTTTGCGTCCGGCTGCCAGTCGACATCCTTCTTGATTCGCGCTTGCTCTCGTAGAGAAGCTCGTCACTGACAGGTGTGGGCTTCTCTTCTGATCCGTCGGCGAGCATGATACCAGGTGACGAGGGCAGGAACATGTCTTCGTAATCTGGCTTTTCGGCAGCCTCGAGATGCTTGGCCCACTCGTTCGTGCGGTAGGATAGGGCGATCTTCGACAGCTTCTCTGGCATCACGTTCTCGGTGAGACTGCCGACCTGTGATCCGCCTTGTTCCAATTGCGAGCCTTGGGAGAGTTCTTCAGACTTGGTGGATTTGGAGTATTTTTCGCTGCTGGCCTTGGAGCTGGACATGACAGTATCAGCCCGGCGTTTGAATGACTGTTCCTTGGGTGAGTCTGCTGTCTTTGGGTCGGTACTAGTCGTGAGAGATTTTACTACGTCAACCGTGTTCACTACGCTCTTCCGGTTAGGTACTGTGTCAGAGTCTTGTCTCTTGAGTCCAGGCTTCTCGAATGGGTTGTCGTGCTCGGTTCCGATTGGTGATTCGACTGGGGATAGATTACGAACGGACAGCACATCGAGGTCATCGTCCAGAGTGGCGGCAATAGACGAAGCGCGGTCGTCTTCATCACCTCGTGTTCCGATCAAAGCCTCTTGTGACGCTGCGATGTCCCTGGAGATACGTTGCCTCATTGCTGAGACGTCAGAAACGCGCTTCGAAAGGCGCCCGGGCACCTCGACGTCATGATCAGTCTCGGGGATAGCAGACACAGATGTATTGTCGTCGTCGCTGTGCGCTTCCCCCTCGGTGGGGACTCTGAACGGAAGTGGGACGACTGCTGGAGGTGGTGGCGGAGCTGTGGGGCGTAGGCTGTTGCTTTTTACTAGAGTAGGCTTTGAGTCGTCCTTTGGAGCCTCCGGAAGAGCCTTTTCGTTCTCAGCAGCGTGGGCTTCGGGTTCGATTTGTTGAATGGCATCTTCGTCGAGAACACCGACGGTGACTGTCGCGCCGGACTTGGCGTTGTGACTGGCAGATCGCATCATCCCAGCTGGCATGTTGACTGTTACCGCGCTGTCGTTGGGAGAAACCTCCTTCTCTTGGACAAGGGTAAGATCTTTGGGATCGGAAGTGGAAGATCGGACGCTGGCCTCGGGTACGTTCTGTCCGTTACCATATGCGGCTTCCCATTGAGCTCGTTCTTTCTGGAAGTTGTTCTCGACAATGCGACCTTGTTCCTCCTCTTCGCGGTCCTGATCCGCCTGTCTTTCGAGTTGCTGAGCAGCGGTCTTTACACGATGCTCTTTGACCATCTTCCAAACGCGCATCTGGGAGACGATACTGACCACTGCAATGATGACAACACCGGCCAGTTCGGCTTTGATGTTCTTCGTGACCGGATAAGTATCAGTGTTAAGAGGGAATATGTCATCGTTGAGGTCTGCGGAGGTCAGTAATAGTCTGCGAATAACGTACGGCAACTTACTCCAGAGGTAAAGCCAGAACTCCTTCCAGCCAGAGCCAGCCAGACAGTCGATACCAAGGATAGCAGCGGTGGCTCCCGAGAAGGCAATTGACGAGATGAGACCGTAGTTGCGTGTGTAGTGGCTGAAAGCAAGCGAGTAGCCTCCAGCTGACATGCAACCAATGAAGATGGCACGACCAGTTCCCGAGGTGATCAAGCCACCATCCTTGACGCTGAGGAACCACATGCTTAGGCAGAAGCCACCAAGTAGGCAGCCAAACCCTTCAGTGATGTCTGCAAACACCAACGACAGGACACCAAAGATCACTCCGGTAAAGAAGGCCGCCACGAAGAAGGCTCCCTGAATGGCATCCGAGACTGGTGGATTCATCAAATATACTATCAAGACAGTAACAGCGAGAGCAGTCAGGTAGGCAGCAGACCCGAACACGTATACCCTTCTCTTTGTCAGTATAGGTTGGTAGATGCATGTACATGTACATACCACTTGTTCTTGATACCAATGATGGCGTATCCCAATCCACTAAGTAGCAATAGCACTCCAGTGACACCCATAGCGGGGGTAAGCTTGGGGTGAATGGGCAGTGGGTCCTTTGGATCCGCGGAGGCACTTTCTACAACATACGATTAGCTGTATCTTATGTACCTATCACGATATAACTTACCAGAAGATTCGGCTGGTGAAGATCCATCGGACGGAGTAGTAGTAGGAACATCATCGACAGAGCTAGGTGCTGGTGTCTCCGAGGGCTTCATCGATGAGGCTACTGTCGATGAAGCGCGTTCAGACTCGATACTCGAAGAGATTATTCCCGATGGGGTGGGTGTGGCAGATGGCTTTCGAGACGCACTGTCCTGAGCCTCACGCGTTGACTCTGCGGAAGGACTTTCATCTTGTCTACGGACAGCAGCATGAGGAGCTGCCACCGCAAATTGAAGACATAGAACAAGCGCAAGACAGAGAACCAAGTAGTGACCAGAAAAGCGCATGGCGATTATGCGGTGTAGACGTGTCTAGCACAAAGCGACAAATGCCATGGAGAGATTACGATTAGAGTTGGAATTCGCGATGAACGGTCCCTCCGAGGATACTCGAAGAGGAAAGCGCGACTCCTGATATGCAGCGAGGTGGTGTATGCAACGATGACGCACGAGCAAAGATGTCGAAAGAGCAAAAGTCGTCGTGGTAAAGACTGTTTCAAAGAGCGAGATCGGATTACTAGTAGTAAAAAGAGCGAATGAAGAAGGAGTGTGGTAGGCACAAACGGCCAATACGCGAGTGCAGGATATGCAAGTATGCGAACGAAATGCAGGAAGCAGGTAAACGGAAGGTGGAGGCGCACCTGGGCATATATCAGACGAGAGAAAGCCACATGGGTGAGCGCCAGCACTGCCTAGACAGGAGATCGACGACTCCTCCCGCAGGTTGCAAAAAGCGAGAGGCTTAGCGAGCACGGCCCTGTTCCTGCAATGAAGTAAAAAAGCAGAGCCCAGGAGCCCATCGAGGCTCGGCGGCGTCAGAAACGGCGGCTCCTTTAGGGATGACCCATACTGCAACGGGTGTGGTGTGGTCCTTGGAAAAGCTGAAATTAAGATTGCAATGGCAGCCACCACCCATTCTAACGTTTTCGCGAGGAACGCCTCCAGGTGCTTTAGGACAAAACAAGTATAGTTCAGTAGTCCATATTCCTCATCTAGTATTGACACTTGAGAGCGGAGTTCGGACGTTACCCGGTGCCAGACAGCCGTACCAGACATGCGATGAGGCGTCTGAGGCTGCCGAGTGCCGTCCGTCGTTAATGCCATGGGGCGCGCGCTGCGGGTTCCCGGGAAGCTGCACGCACACATGCGAGATGAGTTGGTGATTACATTTGCCGAGCAGGCACATGGCGCCTGTCATCCAGTGAGATGTTGATGAGGGAGAACGCGTCGTGAGCTGAGGTGCAGCCATTCGCAGGTAGGGCTGTAAACTCCGTAGGCAGGGGTCTCGCTACGTGCCCATGCATAAGCTGCCGCAGCGTGCATAAAGACCCTCCGAAAGCGCGCTCCTCACATAACAACGTGCAGCCTCAGCCCGTAGTCCGCCCGCAAGGTTCAAGCCTCCGAATATCGTTATCTGTAAGATCTTTCATTTTTCTTCAGCTCACCAAGGCGGAGAGACGTGCAGTCTGGATCGAAGCAAAAGTTCAACATCGCGTTGCCCGAAAGGGAGTGATGATGTGACTGGCCCGGCATCTCCTGCAACCGATGCTCCATCAGATCTGCATGGAGCCGTGCGCGATGCCGACGATCCAGTTCTGAGCGAACCTTCGCGTGGGAATCACTTCCGTGCTTCCTGACGTTAGCGCTAGCGATTCGAGCTTCCGCCCAACCTCCTGTCACTAGTTTCATCGCTTCCGCAGACAGTTCTTACAGCTGCAATTCTCCAAACTCACAGATTTGACGTTTATCTGCTCGCGCCTCATTGTCGAGGCATCGCACCGTCATCTGTTTCACATAGGTCGTTGCACAGGTCCCACTCGGAGTTTTGACATGGTAGCCTGGAGGCCTGCACGTGGTTCCAAAACTGAAGTGGGTCCCGTAAGATTGGCAATACATGCAAAAAGCTTCCGCAGGCACCTCCGCGAGTTACAAGATGCATCCTCGATTTCAATCTTTCGATACGCACAACTAGGTTTTGGCAAGAAAGGAGTGATGGACACAGTAGCGTGCAGATTAACGGTAGTGGGAACGTATCGATGCTGGATGCGCGAGAGCTGGGAGCTAATAGTGTACAACACGTCACATCATATCGATAGTTGTTGGATCAGATCGATCGAAGATGCAAACGGCTTCAGAATACCGTTTTAACCGAAGGCTCCTACCAACTTGTCAGCTGTAGCGAGCTGCGCATACAGTACGTGCTCAACGGTGTGTTCATCCGTCCACCAGACAACAGCTGTCAACTGCTCCGAAACCTGCTGCCACACCGCCCTCCTCGCTCTGATCACCCTTGGTTCGGAGAAGATATCCAGCCTCCCAGTTCTCCAGGATTTCGCCCTTGTTTCCGTCTCCATTCCCGTCTCTCCAAAGACATACACCGTACACTCCAAGCTCGCAAATCACGCCACCCCTCTGCAGCTCACCGTTTCGCAGAATGGCGTTTGTCAGTGGGGGTGGCTCGATCATCTCCATTAGGATGTATGCCGGCCAATGAGTCTCAGGCAGCTTCTGCAGAAATGGTGGGATGGCTTTGCGGTAAATGTTGTTTCCTCCTCCTTCTCGCTGAGGTTTCAGCACATACTTTGTGGCCGAAGAGGCGTCTGTCGCAAGCTTCTTCGCTTCCTCGCCAGCCTCGCTGTTGTCGAGCGGATAGATGGGCGCAAAAGTCTCCAGCACGCGCGCGGCGACCTTGTCATCGGGTAGGAAACGCTTGAGGTGCGGTGAATGCGGCGTAGCAAGCACTTGTTGAACCTTCTTGCATCCCGCAAGCTGGGTCAAGACGCTTGGGCACTTGATAGCACGGCTCTTCTCGAGATGAGTGCGGGCGTTCCAGTCTTCGTCCTTTGAGTAATCATCTGGTGAGTACCCTGCTCGAAAGTAAATTGTCGTCACCTCGTACGACGTCGAGGGAGAGTTTGGTGGTGTGTAGACCAGTGTACGATCTGTGTCGAGCTGAGTGTGAGACAGTGTCTCCCCGAAAGGTAGTCGGAAGGAGCGCACTCCATCGTCTTCAAGCAGGGCGTATTCGAGATGTCTCTGATCAAACACGTTTCTCTCTGAGTCCTGTACCACGAATAGCACACATAGGGGACGCTTGGTGCGCGAAGTCCCATACGCCTTGTGTGCTGTAGCGAGGCCTTTTGCCAAGGAAGAAGCTGACTGGCTTTGTCGCAAAGCGTCTTGCTTGATAATGGATGATGTTGAATCTGGGTAAGCGTCGATCGTGAGCAGGTGCTTGTGTAACGCAGAAACTTGAGCCGATAGTCCGCCGAAAGACGAAGCAATGGTATTGAACTCGACCTGTTTTAAGCCGGACGCTGGGTTTGCCTGCGAAGGGTCTTGATGCACCATGTAGTCTGAGCGGAAGAGTCCCAACGACAGATCCTGCACGTAACCTTCCTGCTTAACCTCTAGATGGGTCTGCCATAATTTTGCAACAAAGTCGTCAACATGGACAAGCTCCTCCACAATGCTCTTCAACCATGTCTCGTCCCTGGCAATGGCTGAGTACAACTCGTTGTAAGCCTTTTGTATGGAAAGACCCTCCTCGAAGCAGGACCGTGGAAACAAGCTTGGGAATAAAGTGACTGGTGCTGTGCTTGCGAGTACACCAGATGGATCCTGTGATGGCTGGACGAATGACGGAGCCGGGCGTACCGCTAAGCCATGAGCAATCGACCAGTCCTTGAGATTGGATAGCAGGTACTGCTCCTCTTGTGGAGACAGCTCTGGTGGGTAATCGGTTGGCGACATTGAGTTCATAATGTCTGAGATGTTTGCGTGTTGTTGAAGAGTAATTTGCTTAGGTACGAGAGAGACTTACAAATGCTGTCGGCGCTAGAGCGATTGCCTCATCTTGCCCCGCCGAAGCCCGAGGCGCACCGATGGACCCTGGTCGCGCATTTCAAAGCACGTCTTTGGTGACTTTTCGACGTGACAGTAATCAATGCCAACTGTCTTCACCGTGAAATGTGACGGCCCTGGGGATGCTTGCCCCTCGTCGCGTGATCAAGTGACAGCGCGCACTTGCCTAGACGGGTGCCCCACCTTCTACGCCGCGTCCACTCCGCAACTTGCTGTAGCAAACATCTCGCATCTCGCCATCACAACGTTGCGGGTCCATTACTAAGTGCTCGCCAGAGCTTCCACAACTACAGCGGTGTATCTCGACTCGGATTAAACCGAAAACATGCCCGCTAACGATCCCTGGTTATGGACAGTGGATGACCTCGTTGCAGAAGTATGTCATTCTAACGCGCTGTTCATAGCAGCAGGTTGTTCCGTGCCACACACCCCCGACTTCACGAGGCTCGAAGAACAGATCCGTAGTCGAGGAGTGACGGGTGAAGCCTTTCTCACAGCCTTGAATCACAACGCAATCGTGAAGAGAAACGAGCTCAACATCCCGCGCCTGCGTCAACGAGAGGCCCTGATGTCAGTTGTTGAGTCACTCCGGCTTCGCTCCTATATCTACAAGCAGCACACGGCCACTACAGGTGTTGATTTGCTTGAGATCACCAGCGCAGATAATTCACCATCTGCACGCTCAACTGGAATCTCCAACGATGTTGCCGTTGCAGATGAATCAGGTCGCAAGCGGAGAAAGATTACACATCTCTCAACAGCGCCACTGCAGAATACGCATCCAGATTCTCATTCCCAACAAACAACAAACACGGCAGCCATCGGGCCCTCACATCCAGCGCCATCAAACACAGACGAGTATGCTCACCTACTCAGATGGCAGAACGTGGTTGGAGGCGAACACATCATAGACTTGCTTGACGAGGACGAGCTACAAGAAGGTGAAAATTATGGACTAGGGAATGTTGCTGAGGAGGATTCTCGATCCCTTGAGGATGACGATGACGATGTAGTGGAAGAACCAAGCAAGCGGACCAAGCTGAGTCAAGATGAGATTGTCGATATCATCAACGAGCGAATTGCGTTCTACACAAATACCTGGAAGCCAAACAAGGGTGTAACCCGTGGCGAAGAGGTGGGCTATGACCCTGTCACCATGTGGAATGAAGCAGAGGTTGAAGGAGAGCGAGAAGTCCTGGCGCAGAAATACGAGACAGATCGTATATATTATAGGTCAAGACTGGACGGATTGTGCGACCAAATCGTCAATTTTCCAGGAAGCAATGCAGTAAGCCATGATGCCCTAAATATGTGTATGATGTCTTCACTAACGGTGACACACTGCAGGAGCAAATACGGCGACAATGCAGCAACCTTGAGGTTACGATCGACTCTATGGAGTTTGCGACTTGGTTACGCGACATCTACAAGCTGGAACCCGTTGATGACAGCGATGAAGAGCAAGTGCCCGACGATCAAGACATCGCTGTCGCGCGCGACCAACTGAACCTACGACGAACTACATCAGCTCTTCAAGTAGAGTCGGGTAATGAGATCATTGATTTGGGTTCACCCCCAGAGTCCTCAGACATCGACGATGGAAACGCATTGCCGGTTGGAAGTAACAACAGTGCCCAAGCCGATCCAGTCGAAGTCCTGACACGATCGTCCACGCGAGACTCAGTCATCGCTGACAGCGTAGAGCCAACCGTGTATGCGCACCCAAGCCTTCTTGAACCAGACTGCGGGTTGACCGCCCGTAAACCCATCAACCATGGGGATGAGCCCGAGAACGCCTCGATCGCCACAGTTCGCCGTTGGAAATGGCAAGACTTGGTCGAGCATCTTGACCGCAAGCGTGTGGTCTCCAAAGTCATCCACGAAATGAAATACAATGATCGCGAAGTGATCCGTAACCGGATACGGCTTGTTGGAAAGACGAATCTGATCAAAGAGATCCGAGCATGCATCGGCATGTTATGCAGAAGAGAAACGAAGCTGCAGGGCGTCCTTCCTCGAGATATGCCAAAGATTCTTACGTTCACGAAGCTGTTTCTGTCTTGGTGGTTCTGTAGCAACTACTCCCGTGAACCCGATGCATCCAGGAAAGATCTCGAAGAGCTGAAAATATGTATGGATAGCGGGGCCGCCGAGACAAGCACATTCTACGACTATGTGTATACGATTATGGGGACGACGTTCAGCGAAAAGGCTCTGCAGCATCCTGACCAGCCATCTCAGGCCGAGATCATCGAGATTTCCGACGATGACTGAACCAGCGGCTTCTTTTGTCAAGCATTTGTTCTTCAGAAAGGGCCGTTTTGCAGGAAGGTCTAGGCCTAAGGTCTGACAGGCTGCTTATAAAATGTTGGCTTCAGCAAAGATGCCGAAGAGTGGGATTATCGAACCACGTGCGGCGTATTTCGGCAAGACTTTCCAGTTCCGCACTGTACGCTAAGCAAGACCATGACTGAGTGCAGGCCGAGGTATGTAGACGAAAGTTTTGAAGAGATGTGCTATCCAGGCCTATGGGTCGCAGATCCTCTTGGAATTGTAGAGATCAACCTCACGAAATGGGACGGTGGCGGCTCCGACTTAGAGGGTAGAGGCCAGGTCGCCGGGCAAAAGGCGGGGTACGCTAAGACCACAGACTACACCGGCGTAGTTGAAGTTGAGATGTTGTACGCTTGAGTTGGAACACGACCAGGTTTCTGCAGTGAGGTGAACAAAGGTGGCAACTTGAAGCACCGCGTGGAGTTGTGTCGACGCCAACGTGGAAGGGCTGACGGGTCGCAAGCAGGTCTTATCCAGGCATAGTGAGCTGGACCCAGGACCCCTCTCACAGGCGCAGTGCGAACCATGAAACTATCCGTGTAATTACTCTCCGGAGTGCCGTACCGCTGATGAACATGGTGTCGGCAGTACTGCAAGCTAATATGAGTGGGCCAATCATGACGAGTCCATTTGATGCCGACGCCCGGCATACTAGATTCCGCGCTATTACCGCATGTAATTCACGTAGTCGCATCTTTGACACATTTTCCAACCGTCTTTCTCTCTCGCACTCTTCCTCACCCTCGCCTTGCACTCAATTTGCCCGCACATCTACAAAACACCCAGAAACCATACACGCCGCGCATTTGACCAACATGGAGGCTCTTTTGCGCCAGTCGAAGTCCATGTGCCCGTTCTTACACAAGACGTCACCCGCCACGCTCCGCTCCCTCTCTACCACGACCACCGCGGCTGCCCGCCAGGAGGTTTCCCCCGGCGCTGGAAGCATGTCCAACCTCCAGGTCATCGCTCGTCGCTGCCCTATCATGGGCAAGGCGCTCGCCGTCCAGAGCTCCCGCAATGGCAACAACGCTCTTGCCGGCGCTTTCGGCGGTGTGCGTGCTTACCACACCCGAGTGAACCGCGCCAGGCTACACACGACGGCGTCCAAGGAAGCCCAGGCTGTGGATCTCGAGAGCCTGAGGGGCAAGCAGGGTACGAAATTCCGACGAAGCCGAGAGGCCGCATCTTGGACGTGGCAGAAAATGTCGAATTGTAGGCTAACATCGCTCAGGACCACCATTCCCGCATGCAGCTCTCAAGCCTGCGAACGCTAAGCCCTCGAATGTCGCATCCGCATCTGCCCCGCAAGCCGCTACGTTCGATTACGAAGGCTTCTACCACAACGAGCTGGACAAGAAGCACAAGGACAAGTCGTACCGCTACTTCAACAACATCAACCGCCTGGCCAAGGAGTTCCCGCGCGCTCACAAAGAGTCCCCCGAGGACAAGGTGACGGTTTGGTGCTCCAACGACTACCTCGGCATGGGCCGCAATCCGCACGTTCTCAAGTCAATGCACGAGACCCTGGACAACTACGGAGCTGGCGCCGGAGGTACCAGGAACATCTCCGGACACAACCAACACGCTGTGGCATTGGAAGACACGGTCGCGAAGCTTCACTCCAAGGAGGCTGCGCTTGTCTTTTCCTCTTGCTACGTAGCCAACGATGCGACGCTTGCGACTCTCGGAAGCAAGCTGCCCAATTGCGTAATCCTCTCGGACAGCTTGAACCACGCCTCTATGATCCAAGGTATCCGCCATTCGGGCGCGAAGAAGATGGTTTTCAAGCACAACGATCTCGCAGATCTTGAGGCGAAGCTGCAATCAATTCCCTCCGAGTACCCCAAGATTATCGCATTTGAGAGTGTGTACAGCATGTGCGGCTCAATTGGTCCTATTGAAGGAATCTGTGATCTCGCTGAGAAGTACGGAGCCATCACCTTTTTGGACGAAGTCCATGCTGTAGGCATGTACGGACCACACGGCGCCGGTGTTGCTGAGCATCTCGACTACGAAGCCCACAAGGCAGGCAGACCTCAAGGCACCGTTCAGGACCGCGTAGACATCATCACTGGCACTCTTGGAAAAGCATATGGCTGCGTTGGCGGCTACATTGCTGGCTCTGCCAAACTCGTTGACACCATCCGCTCGCTCGCTCCTGGCTTCATCTTCACTACTTCGCTCCCACCCGCGACCATGGCAGGCGCCAAGACCGCCATCGAATACCAGGCCAACTACCAGGGCGACCGACGCCTGCAACAACTGCACACTCGTGCAGTCAAGGATGCGTTGAACGAAAAGAACATTCCCGTTATCCCGAACCCTAGCCACATCATTCCGGTCCTTGTTGGAAACGCCGAGGTGGCCAGGAAGGCGTCCGACATGCTTATGGAAGACTGGGGCATCTACGTCCAGGCTATCAACTACCCTACTGTCCCTGTGGGCCAAGAGCGCCTGCGCATTACGCCTACCCCAGGCCATATCCGTGAATACCGCGACCACCTGGTCGAAGCCGTGGACGCTGTGTGGAACCAGCTGGGCATCAAGCGCACAAGCGAATGGGCTGCCGAGGGCGGTTTCATCGGTGTCGGTGAGGCTGGCAAGGAGGAGGTCGCTCCCCTTTGGACGGACGAGCAGCTCGGTCTGACTGACGTTATCAACGAGATGAAGTCAGGCCAGGGTGCGACTGGAATTCTCGAGGCTGTGCTTGAGAATGAGCGCAAGGCTACGGCACAGGCTGTAGCTGCTGCGGCTTAGGTGTCTGAATCAAGCAATCGCTGAGAAGGTCTGGTCGCTCGTTTTGTTATTTGAGACCTATGTAGTTGGGCGACACGTTGACAGCGCAGCGAAATCTATTCATCATTCGTCTGCGCAAGTATATCGTCATAATGCATACTGCCGTGATGCTTGAGCCTTGTGGATCTTGAATGTGCATAGGGTCAATACGCCATAATAGCATTGACTGATGAACGAGATTGTACGACCAATTCTTGCCTATTGTAGTCTGAAGTGAGCGTGAAAACGTGTCTTATTATTGTCGTATTGCTGGATTCGGCCTGGTGGAGGACGGATGGGGGATGCACGGTTGCAGCCTTGGGTTCACGTCAGCCATTGCGCTAGTCGGAGCTCCCAGGGTTTGAGCCTCACGAAATCGAGACACGCTCCATCATCAACCCGCGCCCGCCCCAACGCGACTCCCCCGATTTGGCGCTGCCAACTCTCCATCAACTTGCCGCCTAATTCATTTCTCATAATCATTGTCGACTGCGGCGCGCGCCTATCCATCACCGACACCCCGGCCCATTCGCGAGCCAGCGCCGCATGCTCTCCACACATTGCATCGACTCTCTTTTCGCGCCGGTCTCTCGATCGTAAGAGGGTACCATCATGCCTCCCCCACCCAAGCGCAAGCGGGGCGACCGCACTTACTCCCAGGACGACGACCGCAGCGGACGACCGTCGCCGCATCGCCCCCAAAACCTCGGATTCTCGCACGGCCAGCAGCAGCAAGCCAACAGCCCGCGCGGCGGTGGCAGGCGTCAGAGCAGAAACAACGGACGCGGCGGTAACTCGAGTGTTCCGCAAAGTCCAAATGTCTCACACCCATCGCCGACTGCCATGTCTCCACCCGCAAACACATTCCCATTGAGTAGGCAACCTCAAACCGCACCATCTACTCCCGCGCCGGCGCCCACTGCGTCACAGCCCCCGACGCCTTCTACACCGCGCGAGGTTCCGGACAGCAATGAGTTCCTGACACCCGACCGCGTCGCTCACTGGAATGGCCAGGCACGCGACGCTGTGGTGACGGCTGCTGTGGCTGCTCAAGGTGCAGGCGACGTACTCACCCTCTCGGTCATATTCACTGAGATCATCGAGGCGTCTATGGGCCAGCTGCTAGACGCCGGTGAACTGGGATCCATAGTACGCGACATCACATCCGCCCCAGCTGACGACCAGCTCGACCCGGTATCGACGTTTCTCGACACTCTGAGCTCGCTCACGCAAGATGAAAGCAAACACGCGCTCGTACGGCAAATGCTTGTCGCAACCGACATTGAGCCCGCGCGCATGCGAGCCGAGCTGGAGAACGACCTCTTGAAGTCCCTAGGCCTCGTCCGCGATAGCTTCTCCAAGATGGCCGTTCGCAAGGCAACCCACGCCCTGTACCGACAGTCCAACTACAACCTCCTACGCGAAGAGACTGAGGGCTACTCCAAGCTCATGACCGAGTACTTCACCACCGTGAACAACGAACCGCCTACACAAGAAGTCGTCGCCGAGACCTGGCAACGAGTGAATGCCTTCATTGGCGCATTCGATCTGGACATTGGAAGAGTCCTCGATGTGACACTCGATGTGTTTGCAAACCTTCTTGTCAAGCACGGAAGGTTCTTCGTCAAGCTGTTACGAACGAGCGCATGGTGGCCTGAGCTACGTGGTTTCGACAACATTACCTGGGACGAGGCCGAAGTACCTACACTTCCCCAATGGGCACGACCCGATGCGAAGCAGTGGTATTACAACGACGAGGAGAAGGATGAGCAATTACGGTTACGAGGGTCGCGCGATCGCAAGTTCTGGCAGCGTGTCGGTGAGTTGGGTGACAGGGCAGGCATTCAGGCATACTTTGAACTTGGAAGCCGTCGTATCACTGCGAACAACCGGCAGCCGGACCAGACGTTACCTGCAGAGGGTGCGACGCTGTCGAATCAGCAGGCCGCTCGGAAGTGGGCCGATGAGTGGATGGAGCAGACCAAGACACTCCCACCCTCGGGAAACAGCATCGCCGCTCAACTGCTTGGCTTCAAGCTTCAGTTCTACGCATCCGATGTCCGCGATGCTTCCGACGAACTCCCGGAGAACCTTATGTATCTGATCGCGCTTCTGATCAAGATTGGCTTCATTTCTATGCTGGATCTTTACCCACATTTGTATCCACTAGAGGAAGACATGGCTGCACACAAGGACAAGCTCCTCAAGGCCAAGAAAGAGAAGGAAGACAGTGAACGAGGTGCAGTCGTCAATGCGCT